TCGATTGCTCCTACCACTCAATACGCTCCATCAGCGGTTCCGACGATCGCCACTCAAAGCGTCAAAGTACCGATGCCAGCCTCCATTTCGGTTGTCGCTCATAGGCGTCATGCCATCTCCACTATGCCTGGCTTGGGTAAAATAGAATTGCCAGCAGGTGACGCTCCCGCTGCAGCGCCGTGGTAAACACGGGCGTTGAGCAGGGTTCCCAAGCCGTAGCAAAGCCCACACCAACCGTGTGGTTCGCCAGCCGGCAAACGCCTCCCCATTTAGCTACTACAGCACCTGAACAACCACCAGCTCCAGCCAGCAGCGCGCCTTCGCGTTGGACCAGCTATCAGTTCAAAGATAATCGCCCGATACCATCGCCCAGCGATGATGATCTGAGGTCCCCTAGTGACCCTCCCTCAGGAGGAGGTCCACCTGACGACGACCCGGGCAACAACGGTCCAGGCGGCGGTGGTCCTAATGGCGGCAGCGGCGGTCCCAATGGCCGGCCTCCTGGAGGCCCTCCTGGCGGTCCTCCCAGAGGTCCTCCCGGAAAGCGGAGATCCTTCTCCTGGTAACCCCTCTGGATGGACGGGGTACTCACCCTTCCCTTACTCAGATGAGTGGCAGCTGAATCATAAGCTCAACTCATCTGTTGTGCCCGCCTGGGATGGTCATGGCTCCACGGCTATTGACTATATCAGTTCTATGTCATTCCTGGCTAGAATGAGTGACAAAATGAAGGAAGGTGTAGCTGCCATGGCCCCGTATAAGTGGTCAGGCCGTGCGAAGAGCTGGTGGGAATGTCTTCCATTAACGGACCAAACGTACTTTCGTCAAGACTGGGAACACATGATGATCGGTCTTTGTGTCCAGTTCCTCGACCTACGTTGGTCGCGTGAAAGGCTTTACGAGTTCGAAGCCATGTTCTTCCGTCAGAAAGGGCATACCACCGAAGATCCCATCGACTTCATACAACGTAGAGTCCGTCACCATATGTTCCTTCACCCTGACGATCAGGATGGTCCAGGTGCGGTTGACCGCATTTTGCGTAACCAACCCATCGAATGGGAAAAGGACCTCAATGACGTGAATTGCCCTTCCATCTTCGCGCTACAAAGTGCGGCCAGTCGTTTGGCCACCAGTCTCATTAATGACTGGCAAAGCAGCGAGATTCGCGCTCGAAATACAGCAGTAGGCCAAGGAGACAAGCCCTCTGTTCCGGGCAAGGGACGTTATGGGCGAACAGCACATAACGTTTCTTTAGATCCTCCTACTGGACCTCCAGCCCTAATTCATGACGAAGGCAGTGACTCGAGCACGGACGAGAGCGCCGAAGCTTTTGCAGCGACTTTCCGTAAGCGCAACGAGAAGGGTAGCGCGGCCAGTTCATCAAAGTGGCCGAGGGGCAAAGTCATGAACGGCGTATCCTTCCCAAGGGATGATAGTGTTAAGAGTGCTAAGCCCCCTACCAACGGCGCTTGCTTCATTTGCGATAGTCCTTACCACTATGCCAGAGACTGTAGTCACTATGGAAAGTGGGATGGTCTCCGTAACGCCAATTTGATAGACGTAGATTTAGATCACGAACTGGAGGCCGCTCACGACAGAGAGTACTTAGCTATGATTGTTGAAACACAGGCTGAGGCCTCTTCTTCCGCTTATATCGCTGGACTGAGTAAGACCTCGAAGGAAGCGTTCTGCATGAGCGCTGAACTTACTGGAGCAAAAGCGTTACACGCCAAGAAAACATTCATGACGGATAACCGAAACGTTCGTCGACGAATGGCAAATGAGTCCAAAGGCAAGGAAAAGGCTGATTCCCCAACTGAAGAAACAATTGTTAAACAGCTATCGAGAGCTAAGCGTCGCCTAAGGGATACGCCCCCTCCTTATTCCCGCTAAACCCCCTCTCTATACGGATGACCCTGGTGAAATCTTTGTGGCGCCCAAGGGTCACTCCTTTCCCGAAGGATTAGGCTCCCTAGGCACGCGAGCTCTTCATGCTCGAGCCTTCATCGCCTCAACAAAGGGAGAAGTCGTGCAAGCTCGTTTAGACTCAGGCGCTGATATCACGCTGATGTCTGAGGACTTTTGGTCTTCCATCCCTGGGCTTCCTAAGCCTAAAGATGGATTGCGAATGCGACTCTACCATCTTACGGGGTCTGCTAAAGTGTTAGGTTACATACGAACCACGCTGTTTATGCCCACGGAGACAGGAACATTCGTCAGTTTTGATCTAGAAGCTTACGTGGTCCGCAACATGCGAGTTCCATTGCTACTAGGCGAAGACTTCCAAACGACGTACGAATTAGGCGTGACCCGGTACGCTACGGGTCATTGCGATGTACACGTCGGGCGGACGGGACGAATAATCAAGGCATCTTCAGCCCAGCGAGTAGACCTTGGATTCGAAATCAGACAGGCGCATACGACGCAGTCGTTTGTCCGAGCCAAGGCCGCTCGGCGAGCCAAATGGTTGAAACCCGTTCAGGGGGACCCTCCAGTTCTTGCAGACGAGGACGCCATTATTCAACCCCACTCCGTTAAGAACATTCGAGTATCGGCTCCCTTCGCTGGACGCGACGATTGGTTGGTAGAAAAAGTTGTCATCGGCTTAGAGGATGGAGACATTCTAGCAGCCCCAACTACGTGGATCACTGCCTCTGCACCTATATTACCTATCGCTAACCCCAGCGCTTCTCCCAGGATTGTTAGGAAGGGAGATCTGGTCGGGCATTTATTGGACCCAAGTAGTGCCTTAGACAATCCCTCCGAAGAGAGCACGCTAGCGCGCTACGTCGCGTCGGCTGATGCCTTACGGAAAGTTATCACTGGGTCTCTAAAAGCACAGGACTTAGCGGAGGCTAAACCAACGTTCAACGGTCCTGATGATAAACTGGATCAGGATGATGCGTGGGGCCCTAAAACCATGGCGGTGCCAGAGGACCCAGTACAGGGCGACATTCTGGATGCCGTAAACCTAGGTCCTGACGTTCCAAAGGAATTCCAGAAACCGTTAGCGGACATTCTGCGTAAGAATGTCGCGGCTTTTGGTATCAACGGTCGTTTAGGAAAGGTTGCGGCTAAAGTTCCTATTCCCCTCAAGGAAGGATCCACTCCTGTTTCTGTCCCTATGTACGCTGCTTCCCCAGCAAAACGCAAGGTAATCGATAAGCAAATGAAAGCCTGGTTCGAATCGGACGTCATCGAACCCTCCGTCAGTCCCTGGGGTTTCCCAGTCGTCGTGGTTTATCGCAACGGCAAGGCTCGCCTGGTGGTAGATTACCGTAAGCTGAACGCACAAACCATATCGGATGAATTCCCTATCCCCCGCCAGACGGAGATCGTTCAGGCTTTGTCAGGCGCTCAAGTTCTTTCGACTTTTGATGCGCTAGCCGGATTCACTCAGCTGGAAATGGCTGATGAGGATAAAGAAAAGACGGCTTTCCGGTGTCATTTGGGTCTTTGGCAATTCAAGAGGATGCCTTTCGGGCTCCATAACGGCCCGTCAATATTCCAGCGTTTGATGCAGGGAGTGTTATCGCCTTACCTCTGGTTATTCGCGCTGGTGTACATCGATGACATTGTCGTGTACTCAAAGTCTTGGGAGGAGCATCTAGTTCATCTCGACACCGTCTTGAGCGCTATCGCCGCCGCAGGCATCACTCTTTCCCCTCCAAAATGCTTCATTGGCTTTTCTTCCATTCTTTTATTAGGGCAAAAGGTTTCGCGCCTAGGCTTGTCGACGCATCAGGAGAAGGTCCAGGCAATAGTGGACCTAGCTCGTCCGACCTCGGTGTCCGACTTGCAGAAGTTCCTGGGCATGGTCGTTTATTTTTCTACATATATCCCCTTCTATTCTTTCATAGCTAAACCTCTATTTGAGCTCCTGAAAAAGGGCTCACGATGGGAGTGGCGAGCGGAACACGAGCTGGCTTTTCAGCAAGCGAAAGAGGCGCTATCCAGCGCCCCCGTTCTAGGTCACCCCATACAGGGTTGTCCCTACCGTCTGTACACGGATGCTTCGGATGTCGCGCTGGGCGCGAGCTTACAGCAGGTACAGCCTATCCAGGTTGGTGATCTGAAGGGCATGCCTACATACGACAAGCTTGCGAAGGCGTGGTCCGACAGCAAGCCTGTTCCACATCTGTTTCCCATTCTGTCCAAAGACGTTGTCGAGAAGCCAACCGATGACTCCTGGGGCCCGTCTCTTGATGAGACTGTGGTGCATGTGGAGCGCGTTATCGCTTATTGGAGTCGGACTTTTAAGGCGGCGGAACATAACTACAGCGCTACCGAGAGGGAAGCGTTGGGCGCCAAGGAGGCGTTGGTGAAATTCCAACCCTTCATTGAAGGGGAAACGGTCATACTCATCACGGACCACGCTGCCCTCCAATGGGCTCGTGTGTACGAGAACGCCAACAGGAGATTAGCGGCGTGGGGGGCGGTGTTTGCAGCGTACCCGGGACTCCGTATAGTTCACAGAGCGGGACGAGTTCACTCTAACGTGGATCCCCTGTCTAGACTCCCAAGAGTACCACCGCATAGCTCCCCTGTTGTCGATGACATCACGGCCATAGCACCCGATGAAGCCAAGCAAGACAGGGCCCAAGCCGTGGAGGACCGTATCCATCGCGCCAATGCGCCTCGGGCGGCGTTCACCGTGTCCTATTGGGAGGACATAGTAGAGCGCCGAGCGAATGCCACACACTACGAACCGTCAGAAGCCCTTGCCCAAAGGGAAGCAGATCGATTGGCAGCCGCAGAAGCAAGGTCCCGCAGAGCTAAAAAGCGTAGTAACTTCCCAGATGAAGAACCAGAAACAGGAATTACATCGGCAGTGAACGAGTCTCCCATTACGTCGGCAGTGAACGAGTCTCCCGCCACTATGGAGTCTAATCCTACAGAAACGACTGATGAGAACTTTCCTACCACTACGCCTGGGCCCATTGAAGATGAGCTGCCCTTTCCCCTCGATGATCATTGGACATACCCGATCGGAGTAAAGCCTAGTTCCGCAGAGTTCGACGACGAATGGCTGAACAAACCCCACCTCCTCGTCGCTATGAAGCCATCGGTAATCACTGCGTTCTCCCAGGGCTACCCGCAGGACAAGTACTTTGCTCCCAAATACGTAGAGGACATTCCAAACCCGAAAACCGTCCTTACCCCTTCCCATTTCCGCAAAAGCAAAAATGGTTTACTCTATTTCATAGACGCGGATTGGTCCGCCAGACTCTGCGTTCCAGAATCCAAGATCCACTTCGTTCTGAAATGGATTCACGATTCTCCCTTCGAGAGCGCACACGCTGGACCGCGTCGATTCTTATCTAGACTACGAGAACTATTCTTCTGGCCTACCATGCATAAAGATGTAATGGACTATACGAAGTCTTGCGATATCTGTCAGAAAATCAAGATCGATAGGCGTGCCCAATCAGGTAGCCTTCGACCATCGCACATCCCAGCAAGACCGTTTTCCACAGTTTCGCTTGATCTTATAACGGGTCTACCACCGTCCGGCGAAGAAGGTTACACCGCCATCTTCGCCGTAATCGACAAGTTAACCAAGTTCGCTATCTTCTTACCCGTTCACGAGACTATGAGCCAAGAACAGTTCGCGGAGTTATTCGTGGAAAGAGTAGCCAACGTCTATGGACTACCTGAGCGCATAATAGCCGATCGCGATAAGCGTTGGTCAACTGCGTTCTGGAAATACGTGGTTGCGAATTACGGCAGTGTCATGGCCCTATCTTCCTCACATCACCCCCAGACGGATGGGCAGACGGAGATCCTTAACGCTGTTATAGAACAAATGCTGAGGGCATACGTCGCTTCGGACCACACCTCTTGGGCTAAATGGCTCAGTGTATTAAATTATTCCTACAATAGTTCGACGCACTCTTCCACGGGTTATACGCCGCAGTTCTTGCTAATGGGATACAAAGCTCGCACTTCAACCGTCGGAGTGACACCTGAGGGCGACCCCGTCTTCAGGCCATTCATTGCTAGCCAGTCAGCGGAGGAATTCATAGGCGAATTAGAGTTCCACCGCGCCCTCGCCAGAGATGCGTTAACACTGGCGCAAGAAAGACAAGCGACGGCATACAACAAGGGCAGACGACCAGCGGAGACACTCCTTAAAGGAGACTTAGTCCTGGTTAACCCACACACTCTAAAGCTTGTTGACGTCAAAGGCACCGGCAGGAAGCTAGTGCAGAGGATGATTGGACCCTTTGAAGTCTTGGAGCAAGTGAACCCTCAAGTGTACCGCTTGAAACTTCCCCCCAATTACCCGATGCACCCTGTATTCAACATTGAACACCTCAAAAAGTACCATTCTTCGCCAGAACGGTTCGGGGAAAGGGATTCACTACCTAGCACCAGAGAGCTAATCCCTCACCCCGAATACGAAGTGGAATCTATTGTCGGCCATCGCCTAACTACACAGAAGCGAGGCAACCGTCGAATGTACCTAGTGCATTGGAAGGGTCACGAGCCAGTCGACGATACCTGGGTGTCAGAGTACGATCTGCGTAATGCTCCTGAGCTCACGAGGGCGTATATACGAGCTCATAATCTTTGAAGCTTGAAGTCTCAGATGCCACCCATCATTTGTGCTTGTTTGGTGATTGATCGATGGATAACGATTTTCAACCTTCGTCTTCGTCCTGTTTCTACTCCATCACCTTCTATCATCGCGCGGTCCCCACTGCGTTGAACTTATTATTGTATCTCTTTATCATCTTTTATTATCGCGCGGTACCCACTGCATTGAACTAATCTTTGTAACTCTCGCGCGGCTTGATCTGCGTTGAACACTACCCTCACTTTCTTTTAAGAAAAACTTCACTATACCTTACTTACCTTACCACTATGCACACCTACTCCTCGAGTTATCGCCCTGCCCCTGACTCCCGAGTAACGTCCACAAGGAGGTCCAGCGCAACCGGCTACCTAGCGAAGCCATGCGTTGACTCCCGGATGATAGCTCGTTTGCCGACGTTCGAGATCCAATCCCATCGTATCGTGCAGATAGGAGAAGACGCTTGGGAGTTGTGGTCTCCAAACTCCAAACAGCTCCCTTTCTTACCCGGCTTGCTTGAGGATCATTTTCAAATCGACTTAGCTGGCCGTCGCTCTGACCGACGAAGCGATGGACACTTGGGAAGGTTCGACGCTTGCGTGTCACCGCAGTATCCCACAGGGCACCCATGCTGGGCCCCCTATGTTCGACAGGCTCCTCCTTCAACAACGGGGTACCCGGAGTTCGCTTGCATCCTGGACGTCACAGACCAGCGTAGCTCCGTCCGCCCACAGTACATCAACGAGCTGCTACGACGGAATGACCATCTAGACGCCCGCATTAATGAACTTAGGGCCAACAGCAGTCGTAACCCCTCTATATCTTTAGAGGATGTATGGCGACGCTACAGTCCCACCTTCAGCAGAGACGACATCAACAGCCTTCGTTCCATACGCTCCTTCGACAAAGCTCTGGACGACATATCTCAGCTACAAAGGAAGTTCAAATTGAAGGCAGCATGGATAGATTGGGTAGCGCAGCAGCAAGCCACCACATCTTGGTCCCGATCGTCGAATAGGGCCCCTGACATGGCAGACGAGTTCTACATGGGTGTTTGGATCAATGGCGAATATGAGGACGACATTGACTCGTTCTTGGCGCACCGTATCCCTTGCTTCATATCCCATAAGCTGAGGGGAGACGAGTTAGACCGCCTGTTCGATGCGGGGTACGGGCGGAGAGACACTACGTTCGTTCAGGGCACCCCCATCGAAAAATTGAGTCACCCCCACAATCGAGTCGAAGCATTCCTACGTAAGCAGCAGGTGATAATCACGGAATCCGACAACGATGACAATATAGCAACCGAAGAACCCTCTGACCCGCCAGAATCCCTAGCTGCTTCATTCTCGCTGATCCACAGAGAATGGTCGAGAGGGGGTCCGGCTCCTATCGCGTATATCGCAAGCCCTCCGGCAGGCCAAACTGTTCAGCCAGCCTCAACCTCGACTTCCTCCCCTTTCTCGGACCTCGACTTTTCCAACTGTGGGGCCGAACCTCTTGACATGGTGGAGATCGATCCATGTCGAGTAGCTTGGATCCGTCCCCCCCCCGTTATGCGTCCCATAGGAGGGAAATGGGCAAAGTGGGCAGAGAAAAACGTGGACGGAGAATTATTCGTGGCCAAAGTGGGAAAGTCTTATAGAGACTTTGATGGAGTATCCTATTTCGACCGCTCGTGTAACCGTGAGGTCATCTTGCTGAGCGCTGCGCAAATACTCCCCGGGGCTGTCTCAAAGCCTGAAGTCTTTGGACTCCCCTGTCCTAGATATTTGCATTTCGTCGAAACCCCCCAGAACAAAGCGCCGCGCCCCGCCAAGGCTTCCGCCTGGCTGTACCTGACCAAAGACCCGATCCCCACAGATGTAGGGCTACGAGCGGGGCACCCAGCAGCGGAAGATCTACCGCTCAAGGACGAATTCAGAGCGGGACCTTCGAATCGACCACCGTCACCGCCACCTAGTCCAGGCAATCCCCCAGGCAATCCACTCCCTCCACTGCCATTGATGACCGATCCTTTCAATTCACCAGAACACATGGGCGTTCCTGACAGTGAGCGCCCCATCTCTCCAGTGGACTCCCTGATGGGAGCTCCACCGGAGGTGGACTGGGAACTGGATTCGGACGAACCTATGGGACCTCAGATCCCGGCTAGGTCCCTCGAGGATTTCGAGATGGAAGCTGTGGATTTGGGAGATGTTCCCTCGCCCCCTCGAAGTCCAGCATCACAGTCGCCGATTCAACCGTTCAGTGAGACGTTGGCTAGTCCGCCGCGTCCCATGGCAACCCCGATACCCCTCCGCCACCAGCCTATTATGAGTCCTCCAGCTCCCCCCTCTGCTCCTGAGCCCTCGCGTCAGAGCCCTCCTCGTCGTAGTAGTCGTAAACATGCTCGCCAGCGTTCCCCCTCCCCTCCTCCGAGACGGAGAGGCGATAGCTATCGCCCGAGACCTCCCTCATATTCGAGAGGAATCGACCGTTCCAACCCGTGGTCGACCACTGCCGCTACAAATATGTGGCCTGTCCCTAGCGATCTTCAGAACCCTTGGGCTCAAACGTCGGGAACCAATGCGTGGTCAGCTCCCAACACCTTCTCTGCAGGGCCGACTCCTCCTCCCTGGGGGGCATCTCCAGGATACATGCCCTGGGGTACCAACCCAACGACCATGGCTCCTTGGTCGGTCCACTACCCAGGGTACTATCCCTCAGAGCATGTTCATATGCCAAGCTGGCCACCTTACGGATTCCCACCAGTGCCGGCTCACAGCTGTCCTTCATGCCACAACTGCGCCTCATGCGGTCGCCCCTCTGTACAAGCTAGTGACGATAATCTTCGCGAGCCCCCTCCTGACACGGTTGCGCCATCGTTGCTGGGTCGCTTACGTTCACCATCGGGTGGGGGTCCCTCTCAAGCCCCCTCCATCACGCCGCCGATACCATCCCTCTCTTTGGCACAACGTTTGCGGAACCCTGCCACCTTAGCCGATCGTTTACAACCGCCTACTTCATTGACTCAGCGAATACAACCGCCCTCTGATTTCGTCCAAGGGTCCTCCTCCCAACCTCTACAGAGCTCTTTACCCTTTTTACCAGCCGTGGCACCCACTGGCCGCGCACGCCGTAGTCGCAGAGCAGGCCGAGCACAAAAGGAGGAAGACGATAGGCGAGCAAAAGAAGGCAAACCACCATCAGGCAAAGGGAAACGGAGGGATCGGAGGTAAGAGAACAAGGCGTAATACGAGTCTGCGCGCAGGGGGGCATTGTGATACGGAGTTGAGGATACGCGCAGGCACATCTTACGTAATCGCGTAGTTATATCGTTCGTACATTCTTGATGACCAGTAGACATTAAACCACCATCATCTTGCTACCAAGCTCGCGTGATGAGTCTAAGGTGTCCACTGCTGGTAAGACCAAGGGTGAGCCCCCTTACAATGCTCCCTCCTCCACAGGATACGAGAGCCCTTCCTCTGGGTTAACGAGGGTCTGCCTAGGACTTCTAGGCAACCCTAGGAGACGAGCGCGACCTCAATAGTCGCGTTCTCTCCACTTACTTCTATTCATCGATACTATACTACAACATTCAACTACGGTACTACGAGACTTCACGCGCACGAAGTCCCCGCACGCACTGAGGTTTCACACCGTCCAACTCCCTATCCTCCCCGCTTCCATGCTCCCTCTCTCTACTTACTACCATATCTTCTCCCCTCTCCCCGATCTCCTCTTGCCTACTTGCGGGCTCCCGACCTCGCGAAGTATTGCGCGACAATGAAAGCGGTAAAGGGACCGCAGACGAAAAAGGCGGCAACGCAGTTGCAGACGACGGATTTGGGGGCATAGGAAACACAGATAAACTCATATTGGGAAAAGTCGACGAATGTCCAGAAGTCAACGGAGAGTCCCCTCCTTCCCTTTGCATCAGATAACCAATTGGAGGCGACAGAGGTGGCGGGAACGATGGCGGATCGTCGAATTCAAAGTTCGCGTTGTCGGTAACACGAGGAGAGCGCGAGCGGACGTCGTCGTCATCATTGTATCCCATGATACCCGGAGACCGCGAGTGGGACCTCGACCTTGGTAAAGCAGCTATCGCGCTGGTCGGGATCAAAGGCGTAGCGAGCTCCATGGACACCTCGCCTTCGTCTGGCTCTAGTAGGTGGGGGTGGTTCAGCAGTGAAGGATTCTGTTGGTCGCGTTGAGGACGCGGTGGGGATGTCTACGCGCAAAAAATTAGGGGAGTAAGGGGGAATGAAGGATGGGCTCACACGAGATGGGGGTCGGAGCGATTCTTCTGAAAACGCCGCCTCTGAGAGTTGTCTTCTTAACGCATATATCTCATCCAACAGCTCGTTCTCGCGAGCTTTGGTTGCGGCCATCTCGGAACGCAGCGTCTCCTCCGATTGTCTTAGCCTACGAAATGAAAAAGGATGAGCGGTTGAATTGTTAAGGATAGACAGCATACCGTGAGCATTGCTCCTCAAGAGCTGCTAATCGATCTATTGTACGCGTAGTAGACCCTCTCTAGAAGAAGAATCAGGAGGATGCTCAGACGCATAGAAAGTAAGTGAACATGTACCGGTTCTTCTTCTGATACTTTCACGTTGGCTAAAGCCACCTCTGGACGAAGAGTTGCCTCTGATCTTCGTAATCTACAGCGGTTCCATTGAAGTCGGACCTCATTCAAAGTTATGGGAGAACATACCGGGTACACTCTTTCTCAAGCGCCGCTATCCTATCAGAAGCGTTTGAAGGTCCTGCTTCCTCTCTCTGCAGAAGAGAAATGAAATGAGAGAGACATTGTCACGATTGAAGAGGAAAACCCACATCCACAGGCTCCTTCTCGAAGGAAGAAAGATCAGAAGAAGGCTCAACGGTGCAGAGAATCACGTACCCGTTCGGTCGGAAGCTCCGCAGACTCTTTCTAAAGAGAAGAGAATGAGTAAAAGCCCCGATTGAAAATCAAGAAACGACGGAGAGAAAAAACATCTGGACGCGCAGAGAATCGGATGCGGAACCACCATCAAAAACCGACCCACGTATCCCACCCACCACCCCACGTCGCATAGGACCCAACCACCTCGATCCACGTGGACCACACATCACCCCCACAAATCCCAGTTCTGAAGCCCATCCACCCCACCCACGCAGCCCACGCATCAATACACCACACAGCCTATACACATCGACCAACCTAAACCACTCACCTCCTCCTCCTCCTCCCCCCCTTGCTCCTCCTTCTTCTTCCTCTTCTCACCCTCCACGACCCTCCACAACTCATCCCTCTCCCTTCTAAACACCTCCACCGTCTCTCCAAGCAACTCGATTTGTCGGTCGAGGTCTTCCGTTATCAGCGCAAGGTGAGTTTTATTCCCCTTTGAGGAGAGGCGGGGGCTGGGAATGGGTTGAGTTTCCCTCAGGTGTTGTAAGTGATTGTTCTCGGGGGGAGCGCGTTCATCCGCCGTCGTCGGACGTTGGTTGTCAATGACTTCGTGATCAGTTGGCGTAGGGCGTGGGTTGCTGAGAGCTTCAACCGCCGTTGAGATCACCGCTATCTCATCAGGTAAAATGGCGTCGTCAGGTGGCGGTGGACGACTGGTCCCCTCGCCAGTCTGAGGACGAATCGTGATATCGCCAGGTGAGGTAGGGCGAATGGTCAGTTGCCCTGGTGAAGTGGGGCGGATCGTTTCATCCCCAGTAGGCACTGTGGTGCGATTCCCCCTTGAACCTGGACGACTCGGCCTTCCATCAGCAGGTAATATGGTATCATCCAACGGCGGATGTCGCGTTGTCTTCTCGGATGACTGCTTCGCCTGTGACAGTGGGAAACGGGGCGGAGGCGATGCGGATGAACGAGCTTCGTTGAGCTGATCAGAAACGTCAGTCAGTGGACTAGAAAAGACAAAATAAAATCGTCACAAGACAGTCGAAAGGACCGTCAGATAGGACAGGAAAAAGAATGACAGTCGAAAGAAAGACGCATAACCCGAAAGACAGAAAGAATTATAAGCCAAAAAGAAGGAAAGACCAGATAACTTCGTAAAAGAAAAAAGAAAGGCGTACAACTCACTCTCCTGAACAAATCCCTAATCTCAACCTCCAACTCTCTATTCCTTGTAGCTGTCATTTCCAACATCTGAATGGCCTCATCGTCCGTCATCTCAAGTGGGGCTTCAGACTGATTATGCGTCAGTCGGGGCGTAGACACCCCATCTCGTAACTTCATACCGACCCCATCCCTCAAACACACCTCCAGCTCCGCCTCCCTCCGACACAGCTTCGCTTCCAAAGCACACATCCGTGCCTCACACATCTCACGTGTCCTTTCATGCGCCTTGCGTTCCGCATCGCGTCCGTGTCGGAGGGATTGGATGATTTGGGATGCGTAGTTTAACAGTTCTGCTTCTTCTTCGTTTATGTTGTTAGGACGGAGTGGATGGAGGGGAAGGGAGAAGTCTAAAGGGAGGGACGGGTGAGGGGGATAGAACGGCGAGTAGAAAGGACGAGCCTACCGACCGGCAAGACTTGATAATTGCATGCGGCTATGCGGCCACGTACTATAATCATTCGAAACTTGCACTAAAACCACATCATCGTCATAAAAATAGAACACTTGAAGAACACAAAAGCGCACCTTTCTCGACCAACTTCATAACCGCATCCCTCATATCATCCCTCTCGACCTCCGCACTCCTCACCACTCCAACATACCTCTTCAACGCCTCCTCAGCCCTCTTCTTCCCCTTCACAACGGCGCTCATCTCTTGTGCGTGCGTGAGCTGAATGGCGTCGAGGGTGTCGAGGGTTGAGAGGAGGCGCGTGTGGATGTGTGTTGTTCGTAGGGTGTGTGCTTGGATCCGGGATTCCAAGGAGGCGATCTGTTGAAGAGGTTGTGGGTGAGAGAAGAGTGAAATGGGAACACAAAAGCTGACCTGTTCGTCTTTCTGGGCTAGTTTTTGGGATAAAGACATCCCCGATGGACCCATTGCATTCGTTATGGCTGCAAGGAAAGCATAGACTACTTGTCGGAAAATCAACCATTGTTTAACTTGAAGTTGAGCCTGGGTTAGGGTTACTGTAATCTTATCTTATCTTATCGGAAAGCGCTACCGACCTACAACCTCACGATGCGGTTTGGCGAAGGAGCGCATAAAGATGAGAAAACTATGTAGGAACTGAGCCGTAAGTGTTATGTCAGTCCTGCCACTTTTGATTTGAAATGATAAATTAGACACAAAAAAAAAGCGACTAAGTCTGATTTTTTTTTTTTGTAGATGATTTTAAGTGCAAGTGAGCCTCTCTAGTGTCTCATCGCAGCTCGTTGACGTGTTACCTTCTCAGCACTTATAACAGTCATAAACCTGTACGTCAGCCCCACCCATTTGTTTGGCAGACGGATTGAAATATCTGCTTTTAGAAACACATTTGTCTGTGTGGATTCTTTAACACTTCTTTCAACTCAATACGATTCCACTTGATCATCGGGGATTTCTGCGGCACGACCTGGGCACAACGCTTGATTCTCGTGCCTTTGACGCTTCCCGTGAGCCTCCGTTGGCAGTCAATCCTGGTTATCTCGATTGCGTCTGGATACCCACAATCCAGCCACGAGAATTTAACCCCAGAGCTCATACAATAATTAACAGACTTTATATAGAGACAAAATAGCGTTCCAAGGTGAAAAGCAAATGCGTCGATGCACGTATTGCGAAAAAAAAAAAAAAAAAGATCATAACACGGCCTCGAATTAAAAACGTCAAGTTGAGCTTTCGGATTTGATATGGCTTTCCTCGTCTTTTTGTATTTTACTAGCTACTTCGCTGCTTGGGGCTTCCTCGGATATGGATGACAGAGGCGCCGTAGTACTTTGCTGAGCGAAATTAATGCTGAACGTTTGACTTGGTTCAGCTAGCCGACGCCGAGCACGTTTCCGGCCATTCAGAACGCTAAGGAGCACGTTGGAATACCTGTTCGAGTCAGCACCTTTCAAAAGACATTCACAGCGCAAGGGACAACTTACAAGCCCCCCAATATGTACATTCTAGAAGATTAGACGTCAGTAAGCGTTCACACCAAGTTTATCGCTGCGACTCACATGCCAAGTTGCTGGAGTGAACTTGGCGGAGATCTTAAATAAAAGATTAGTTGAACAAGAGTCGTAATCAGGGTGACGGCGCCGGTCTCCAAAGTTACGATAATGAGACGATCCATAAGACGCTTCGTTGACTTGAATGAGGATTCGAGTTTTGCCTTTACGAGCTAGAGAAAAAGAGAAGATTTAAACCAATTTAAATTACACAAAGGAGAATGGGAGTACCAGAAATATCATGGTTGCAACGATGATGGAGTCACAGATCAAAGTCCCCCATAACCAAAGCTTTTGAGGGCAAGGTTGAGCGCTTGCATTTCGGAGATACAGCAAAAGAGAACGTACCTCGGCTGAAAGGTCTAAAAAATGCTGTTTGCTGGTTAACCTTCCAGATTGAGCGCACTATTATCAAATTTAAGAATTTCCGCAGAGAAATTTTGCGGTTGAAGTTATGGACCACGTACAGCTACTCCACGGGCAATCGCAGCCGCTAATTGCATAAATGCCACCTAGAAAAAGTTCAGCGCATGTAAAACAAATCAGGAAGGCCGCTAACCAAACAGATTATGCCCGAAATAATTCGATAGATTTTGAACTCTCTTTTCAGGGTCCATATTCGCCTATTAGGATGTTGGAGGACATGCACGAAAACGAGGTTTTACGAGGACTCACCACGCAAAAAAAATCTGAACAATGCAGGATTCTATTAATGGCGAGGTCAGTACGTCGATGGATCGGTTGAATGGAAGACTCGCCTATCCCAGTGAGTGGCACGGTAATGAAAGGAAATACGGAAGTGCCAATGAAAATAGTTGGGTTTCCCCATGCAACTATCAAGCTCTGCCAAGCACCTGACGTCACCGCCATCGACCGCACCTGATCAACGGCGAGGCATACCCACACTGACATTTGGTTACATCAAGGGCTGGAGAACACAGAATCGCGATGATGCTCACCCGCTATTTTGATGAATATCGGGTCCCCATCCAAATTATCGGTGTAGAAGAAATCGTCTGAAAAGATGATTGCTGTAGTAGGTGTTAGGTAATAGAGTGAAGTAAACGCACAGCATTGCACCAATAATGACCCCGACAAAAACCAAGTGATGATGGTACCGATGAGCTGGACGCAACCGTAAGCTTCTGCGTTAAAGATTTCACTCCCAATGACGAACAAGAGGTGCGGTACTAGTGTCTCCGACATAAACGCATGCATATGATCCCATCATGATCACTTACTCAGATATGGCTCCAGTATAGCCGGCCATCTTTGTGGTGGCGGCGCTGGGTCGTTAGACTGTTGAAAGTGGGGAGGCAGGAACCTCCTTCAAGTTCGGTGGGTGTAAATTTGAGCGATTTGACTTCAGGGCCGATACTCTTCTGTAATCACAAGAAGTCATGAGGTCAACTGAATCAGGGTTCACTTTTTTTCTCTTGGCTTTTATGTATCCCTTCTTTTTCCCTTCCCTTATTCCGCAGACCTTTTTTTTCAACCTGGTGTTATGCCTGCAGTTGGGTGATAGTCCGGCTAATGTCCCCCTTGTAGCACAGCTAGCGAGGTCGTAGTTACCTGGTTAGCTATGTAATGTATAATTCCAATTCATCATCCACAATCGGCTTTTTCCGAACAACGACCCTCGATCAGTTGATCAAGAACCTGAGTAAACTGAATGTAACCCGTCCCGAAGCCAACGGAAATCGACGAAACCGTATAGCGGAGTGGTTCAATATGCGGGAAACAATGGACTTAAATACGCGTTTGGGGGCCAAAAGCTGCACAGGTGCACCTTTTGGTTCACATAGTTCGAAATTGAAAAAGAGCGACGCGTGCAGGTCGTGATTTCACGCGACCATGCTCGTTGGTGTTAAACGGAAGGTGCCGAGACAGTCACTCCGGCTATGGTGCAACAACCCTAAACACTGCCACTTTGGACAGTGGCCAAATTGGCTGCGAAAAAAATTTCAAAAAATTTGTGCTTTTTTCTGGCTACGGGGAGCTTGTAGAAGGTGTAAAAAGCTTGATTGAGCATTCACCAGTGCTTCCTGACGATTCCCGTGCAAGGGAGGGCAAAAACTCCAACCAAACTGATGTCTATATTTGGGAAGTACCTTCCTTATATGGCCATGTGGCCAATTTCAGCCAACCAAAAGAGAATAACTTGGTCAGTTTTCATGCAAATCAAAATCAGTTTGGTAGTTTTGTTCAGCTTTGCAAAAGAAGCATTTCTACCAAACAGATAAGAAAAAGGGGGAAATTTGGACCCTGAGTTTTGATTGCACAAAAGTAGCGGTGTTTAGGGTTGTTGCACCATAGACTGATGGTGGACTCGGCGAAGACTCGGCCTTTTCTGACTAACTGTGACTTTCCACCAGGCCCATCGATCCTGGACCATGCTATCTATGTAGCCTCAATCTTAAAAATCTTTAGTATGAACAAGACATGCCTCGCTCCATTTCGGAAGCTCGAGCACTGGAAATGGAGAGGAGCCATGTACTTACACACGAAAGCCGGGGATAATATAAGAGTAATCCGCCGTTAGAAGAACAGCACAACGTCGAAAATTAACAGTCTGTGACTGCACTCTTCAAGATGGTACACTCACCCAAAAAATTATCGCAAGTGAGTCTTGACACTCCTAAGATAGATAATTTATAAGTATACTACCACTACGCCTTTACATCAGACCTCTCATCGGCGCTTTTTTCCTGTTCATGCCTCACTTTTCCAGATTCGAGCCCAGCGCCACCTTGTGGCGAGTTTTGGCTCCGCTGTAGCCACTTGAGAATTCAAATGGAGTTCAATTATACCATCCGCCCAGATGATGTGCGCCTTGCTCCCATAGGCTCTGATGTCGAGCAACACCCTACTTGTCAACATGGAGTGGAGGCATCGTTCCACGCTTTCGAGAACATGTAAGTATTTTTCTCGAAGCACCCGAAAGGTGACACATACGACCAAAGTATATCCAAGTAAATATGCTGCAAAGGATTAGTGGTTATGCTTGAGATTGAGGTAAAACGACCTACCGGAAGGGAGATACTCACGATGACGTTGATGGTTGATAGAGCTGTAGAGGAACGATAAAGAAGAGCAGAGACGTATAGCATTCTCTTACCGAAGAGATAAATATAGATGAGGACGCCTGAAATACCGGTCAATAACAAGATGAGAATGTATTTGTTCCACTTACCATCGCGGTAGACAACAGTATGCAGCGCTGTATCGCCTGCTATTCGATCTAAAAATCTGATTAGTGGGCACAGAAGCTATTCATAAAATGTAGATGTACACGCAGAGATGCCAGGGATGACCATCAGTACTAAGATCGCTGCAAACAAATCGAAGGTAATCACGGCTCTCGTGATGCTTTGTAGAGACTTACCTGCTTCGTATACCATCAGAAGCACCCAGTTCATATATACCACCCTACTTGCGCTTGTGATGAAGCAACCTTGAAACGTGGGATACGGTCTATCGGCAACTGGAAATCTCGGAATCAGAATATGGACAACAGCATGGACCAGCGGTTCAGTCTCTCACATTTTAGGCTGCCTAAAAAGAAACCGGAGACCACGAAATTGGAACTAACCGCAAGGAAGAAGAGTATTGATAGAGCGAGGCCCACGCGACTGCTACGCTCCCATACCGCCCAAACGCGTAAGGTGAGCACGACTAGATCAAGAGATAATTAGGTTGGAATTAAGGTAACGAATTGGAGCCACGGACGCTCTGATAACGATATGCCAGTGATCATCAGTACTGGAAAGAAGATATGAGAGAACATAGGGAACCAAGATTGAAGGAGACTCATACATCCTCGAGCCTTCTCGACCATCTTGCATGCTCTAGGGTCAATCGCTGTTGATAGTTGATCTGGATGTATTGGTTGGATATCACATCGTTGTCACAAAATGTACTCACTCAAAAGGCAAAGCGCCACTGCGTCGACGAAGGGCAGATATCGCTGAGCGAAATATAGCACCTTCATAAAGGTCCCCTTTGACGACCAGACCAACTCCACCTCCATCCCCAGGGTTAGAAGATAGTCGTACAAGAACATCGTAGCTCCCGCGACTGTGATGCAAAATGCCTCGAATTAGCACCTGTCTTCCAACCCCGGCCCCGTGGTGACCCACCATCGAAATACTACATAGAGCCAAGTCAGCTTAGGAGAATTCATCGAGCTTGGTTGAATCACGCACCGTAACCAATCTCATAGATTCGACAATATCCGTGACCACCTTGACCTCCTCAATCAAGTCGCTTATTGTCGACATGGCGGGTCGTTCTGGAAAAAAAGAAAGTTGGAAGAGAACGTATCCGGTGAATCAATTTTGAGAGTGGTAAAATAAAAGGGGGAGAGATCGGCTTTCATTGTTTAAATGGGGATGCGAACGTTCACCTGGTGACACCTCTCAGTTTCCACGGAACCATTACGGAGAAACCACAACGTGTTCGTATGTATGTACTTCTCCCCACATGACTTGCGTGGATCAGGAATCACGATTATCGCTGCTGAGTATGTGAATCGAACATTTCACTCACATTCATCTTTCTTAAAGCCCTACCACAATAATTTGGCATATACATTTTGTGGCGCCTCGCCGATGTTTTTCCATACGGCCTCTCCCAGGAACATTTCATGCTTCGGAACTAGCATGGTTGATGTCAATATTTTTCAGGGGGTTAACAACGGAACCTCACCACTGTCAATGTTGAAGGCAATACCGTCAGGATACATTATTTGACTGATAGTGGAATCCTACTTTCCTTCCAAAATCCGTCCGCAAACCGGAGGATTTGTACCTCCGAAAGCATCTGACAACTTTTCATTTTAACAAGGATACATCAACGTTGTTTGCGGAGTAACCGACGAAACATATGTTGGCTGGGAGTATCGGTTAATTGATATAACCGGGCCTCTAGCTGGGCACGACGTCGACGAAAACCATTGAATGATGATTGTGGGAGTGAGCTACCGACGACGGGGAAACGAGGACATTATTCGAAACGAAGAGGAGAGCGAGTAAGATATGTTCAGCGAGGAGAATCGTCCAATGACCGGCCGACTCACGCCGCTAGGAGAATAACGAAGTTGAGGAAAACGAACGTGGACTTCACAAGAGAGTTGTGTACGCCACATATGTGGGTCAATGCCCGATACTCCAAGGACAAAATTAAGATTAAAGGACGTGTGTGGGTTGGTGCTGATAAGGACAAAAAGATGAGCAAGGGTGACTGGAGGGACGACAAAGGTTAATTCATCCTGACCGCCCACACAGTTCTTGATATAAAAGCAGAAAAGAGAACTCACCTCATCCCATCAAAAACACAGGGAAGTCTTCCTTACTGTGCTAGCTTCCGCCCGCACTTACTTAAAGGAGGCTAGTAAGTAATGTGGCTTGAATACGACTAGGCACCCTATTCAGCTTGTCGAAACCGTAGTCACTTTAGTAACAACCAATTGGACGGGTTCACTCACCAACGTAACGGCGAAGTGTCCTATGATGGCAACTGAGCGCCTCCGCAGAAAATGCGACTATGACAGTCAACCCCGCCTCCAGCCCCAACAGCCAGACGATCCAATCACTTGGGGTGCGCTCGACGACGACTAATTCCTAGAAGAAGGGAGGCTATGGAACTCCAAAGGGTGACTACCTTATTTGAATGAGTCTAAGTCGATGATACGAGGATATTCCGAATTTGAAACATCGTGATCGTACCAGAGGCTCACGCCTTGACTGCCGAATGGGCCGATTCTGAGGGGGTTTGTAGCTGCGGCAACTGATTGTCGTAAAATAAATGCCCCCGCCTGATTAGAGTGGTGATAGTAGTAGTAGATACTGGGGGTGTAGTCATGTTGATTTTTCGTTGCGCTTGCACGTGACGTCATTGATATCGACCTTGCAGTGCACTCGACTGCTCTGGTTCCCGCTTTCTCTTTCATCACTCCTAGTATCACAAAAAACAGTCACCTCCGCCATCGTTAACCATTTCGTGAAATCGACGAGGCATTTCCTGATGCGAACCCCTTGTTATGGGGAGGAACAGGCGCATAGGGAGCTGATGAGGTGGGTTGAAGGTGGGATGAGCCGTTGATGGGGAAGAGGAAGGGCATTTGTCGAGGGGAGGCAGGACGAGCCTTCTCATCCGCAGATCAGAGCCAAACGCTTGGAGAGTCCGAGCTATAGACACACCCAATACCCACCATCATCACCAAACCATCCCCGCCCACACGCAGTATTTGCTTTGTCAAAGCAGCTCTTGACGCACGCGTGTCCCCGGCCTTAATCCTCGTCATCTACCACCATTTCGAAAGACCACCGCCGACTCTCTCTTCTACGTTCACGCAAACCTCAGTTTCGGCAGGGAGCAGCAGCGCCGCTTTGTCGTGGAAGAGCGTGACGCAGGCGCAAGGTGAGCTTGCGCTTAGAGTTGGAGGGAGCACGTTGAGCGGGATGAAGTTCCTTGGGGGGATGGCTATGATGCTGCTGTGAAACGCGGTGGAGGTGCTGGGGAACCGCCACCTGCGACGATGGCGATTAATAGGTTGTTCTCGAGGAGCGCCGACGAAGGGAGAGGCGGAGGAAGATGAGGAGAAGCGGCGGAGGAGGCATTCGAGTGAGCCCTCCGTTGCTGCTTCTGCGAATCAGGTGTTTGAGAGGGAGAGGATGGGAGGAGGGTATCATGTTCGAGTGGTTGATCTGGCTTTGCTTGCGACGATGGAGATGGGGAATTCGCGGGTTGTGCTTGAGTTTTGGAGTTCGCGAAGTCAGCCTAGCGCGGATTTGAGGTTTTCTAAGGATGGGTGTTCGTGTTATTCCGAGGGACGGGCATCTTATCACGGTGTTTCGCTACGCCCGACTCCTGCGGTTCTTTTTGGCGGTAGGGGAGCGGCTACTTCGCCTCATGATTACGCGGATTCGCAAACGGGAAGTGGGTCTATGCGGCACTTGTATGATTTGCGTCGCGGTGGTTGAAAGTGTAGATTGGGCTCAGATGGGCGGTGGTTGGCGATTGGGACGCGGAATAGGACGGTGCATGTCTTTCCTGTGAACCCGTATGGCGGCAAGGTGGATGTAAATTTGGAAGGGGGAGCTACTGTCAGTCTTTCTTCCTCCTTTTGGGAAAAAGATTGGTTGAGAACAGTTCATTCCTTCTAGATACCAGTCAAGACGGAAGTGACCCCCTTAGTCCGCCCGTCCCAGGTATCACCTTCGTCAGACTTTCGAAGGATGTTATTTTTGTAATCGGCGTTAACCCATCAATGATATGGAAGGATATGGAAGACCCTATAATACGAACGGGGGGCCATTCCGCTCCGTTACGCTGAGTTTTATAAGGCCAAAACGCCTGAAACATTCAAGCTCCCCTCTCCACAAAACCAGCTGAACTCGGGTGAGTGCTCCCTGTAGATTTTTTAGCAATCATCTGCCGACCTTAATCAACTCGAAAGTTTACAGCACCAGAATGAAATTGTTCTACTCAGTGGCTGTCAGCATGCAAACGGCGTCATCCAGATGGCGTCGGGGTTGAAATGCAGCACCGGCTGCGCAGCTTGCTGGCTAGATAACAACAGCAACGGTGCGGACACCAAGTTTACATGCACTGGAGATTGGGGGGTTCTTTGTGGCGGTTTATGTCCGAGTGGCTACAATAGCATACACTGCGCCAAGATCGAACGTTGCCTGTGAGCAGAAAGATTGCCCAAAAGACGAGTGGCATCTCACTCGGTTTTTAAATAGGTGTGATTTGACTCGAGATAATTGTGATGACTTTGGCCCGTGTCAGTGCGGTAGCCTTCAGACTAACATCTATTGCGGATCGCTCGATGGAAGTGGAGCATGTCAGACCTCCTGATTCCTGAACCCCGGGCCCCGTACCTCTTCCCTTCTAGTACCATACCAGATAAATTAGCTCGTCGCGCATTAGCCTATTTTTTCATAGGAGGCACTGTGAATAAATCAGGACGAAGTAAAAAAATAATCAGGCACTCACCATTTGACTAGGGCTTTGAGCACCTCGGGCCTGACGCTTCTCAAGCGCTGCGTGGCCTCTGAGGGGTGTGCTGAGCGTGACAGAGGGATTAATCACCATATTTTTGCACGGTATGCGTCCTGAGAAACTCTTCCAATGATAATGTATTGGTTCGTTGGATTTTGGCTTGTGGTGCAGGAATTGATTGAGAGACGTCGCGCTTCGTTGTAACAAAGCTCACGTTTATCGGTAGGCGCGTATATGCGTCCGGTTGATAACAGGCCGTGTATTTTTTTTGCGGAATGGCTTATGGATATAGAAACGGATGTAAAATCTAATTTAGGTGGGTGTATAAACGATATCGTACGGGTCAAAGTAATCACTTACCTGTAATTCAGATGACAATGCCGGAAAGACGGGGTAACGGAGGAACGTATCCCCTGTGTAAAACATGAAAGGAAGCCTGAAAACTCGAGGCAATTCTTCGAATTCACGGTGAAGAAGAGTTGAGCTTGACGACTCCGAGTCGGAGATGACAGAAAATTGCTTCGCGACCATAAAGAATCTATACGGCCCGTGTAGTCTGCAGACTTCAGAATAACGTACTTGCTAGAAGAGAGAAGAAGTAAGACATACCTGAACCGACCGTCGAGAAAAATTTAAAATGAAAAATCTTTCGTTGCTACGTTGGGTGACCGTTCGCCGCGGAACTCTTTGGCATGCCTAACGCTTCTCCGTGCATATAGAACGGCGGCGACTTCTCTTCCCCACTCAGGAGGTGATCCATCGAGCGTGTTACGTTACGCGTTGTCCGGACAACTACTTTTTTTTTTCAGCAACAAGGCAAGAAAACAATTTGAAGAGAGATAAGGCAAAGATAAGGGTACTCTCCAGGCCGCTGCCCGACACCCCGTGTATTCACTGTATAATTCACACCACCGCTCCAATCGTCTACCGAACGCATATAAAAGAAAACACTTGGCATCTTATTTTCATATACACAAGGCTATGCTCCCGCTCGATTGGCTTACTTCCCGTGACGTCACCCGTCCGAGTCGCTTCTTATCGCATCACGTGGGTGTAGATTTTTAATCCACATTTAAACAAGCAGCGAACGATGGGCGGTTGATGGCATAATTGCGCCATAATTCCCCTTGCTCATCGGCCTGCCTGAATGCTCGGAAGGATCAAGTCTATCTTGTCTTCATCCCGCCCTGTCCTTGACCCAGCTGCGTTCCAAGCGCCAATGTCGTCTCGTATGTGTCCTGCGCTTACTTACTACGTGTCAGTTACTGATGGCGAGGACGCCGTAGCTTCTGTCCAGCCTGAAATCGCTACGTTCGCTGCGGGGTGTTTCTGGGGCGTCGAACATATCTTCTTGAAGCACTTCCCCCCGTCGCAGAATAAGGGGATCTTGAAGACTGCGGTGGGGTATACGGGTGGGAACCCCCTGGTTACGAACCCGAGTTACAAGCTGGTGTGTGCGGGCGCGACGGACCATGCAGAGGCGGTGAAGATCGAGTTTGACCCGTCGATCGTAAGCTATGGTGAACTTGTTGGTGTGTGCTTTTCCTTTCCCTTTTCTTCACTCGTTCGATGGTGTTGAACGGGTGAATATGATTAGAGTTCTTCTATCGTAGTCATGACCCAACAACGGTAAACCGCCAGGGAGGCGACACCGGTAGCCGTAAGTCCCCACCCTCCGTCACTCGTTCGTTCGCTCAATCATTCATCTATGACGCAGAATACCGCTCAGCAATCTTCACACACTCCCCCGAACAAGCTACCACCGCCCAATGCTTAACGGAAGAAATCCAGGCAAAGTACTTCACGCCAAAGGGAAAGAACATCGTCACGGAGATCATCCCAGCCGGCACGTGGTGGGACGCCGAGGATTATCATCAGCTGTACTTGTTCAAGAACCCGAATGGGTATCAGTGCCCGTCGCACAAGTTACATTGGTAGACGTTGGATCGGCGGTAAACGGACGGATGGACGGACGGAAGGTTAGATTTTGTGGGGGGAGGGTGTTTTTTGTTGTTTTGGGTGCATACATGGAGTCATCTTCTGCTCGTACCGTGTATGTACATCCTATCTATTAGCTTTTGGTGTACCGAGCGCATGTGCTGGCGCATATATCCACCCTCATCGATCATCGATCATCGATCATCCATGAGGATATGAGAAGATTGCTTGAAGAAGATCTGCCGCCGAGCCGTTATGAAGATATCACACATACGGTTGCGTTCAGCACTAAATGAGGCAATACCCGCCCTTCAGAAAGTTGAACTCTACCTTCTATCCATAAACATCCTGTTAGCCCATCGGTGGAACTTGGCACAAATCGACGTGTGAGTGACGTGACTGGGTTCGAGCCCCAGAGCAGGTATTTATCTTCGTCCGAACCGATACGTTTCGTCCCCTAGTTACTGTTCGAGGTTAATAGGACGTGTACGATTTGTTATGTTTCATACATAAATCTCTGTACAATGTAGATAACTCTCTGTTAGTATATCGGTTAGTACACGCGCCTGTCATGCAATTGTATCACTATAGCTTGCACCGCGCGAAAGCTGGGTTCGACTCCCAGACAGAGAGCTTAATAATCAAAATTTGACCTTTTTTAAAATATGTGCCCTGCCTGCGGTTTGCAAAATGGACGGAAAATTAACTGCGTAGCCAAAAAATATTCACAAGGAATAGTGACAGTGTGCATTTTGGCGAATTCAATTTTTCAAAAATAGTATGAGACGTCACATACCGTAGTTGTGGCAAGGCGACACCAACTCATTTTGCTACCACGCGTTTCAAAATAGTGAACTTTCCTAGACTGCTTGGGAATACGTGTAGTTACTAGTACTACGTATTTTTTACACAACCTTCATCATACCACGTCCATCGCGTTTGTAAATTTCCGTCAACAAAAAATTCAGCTGGCGATTACTCCCAAGGTCGAATGAGGAAAAGGTACGATCGCCCGCCAGACCTCGTCGTCTTCATATGCATTTTGTGGGAATTCTGCCCACAAGGTCGTGCCAGAGTCACTTAGAAAGTAACAGGAAGTGAAGTTTGTCAAATTGTCGGCAAAGGAGTCGCGATCTTTACAGATGGAATGGTTGAGTTTGTGGTGAATATCCAAGTCACGGCGTGTGCTTACTGTATGCTGAAGGAGGCAAAAAGGTTCCAATTGTCGGATTTGTTTTAATCATATGTTTCACGAACTCAACTGCTTCCTGATGCGATGGTCAGACTAAGGCGAAGAGAAAATACAGATCATCACTCGCCTTATAACTTCGGGGACGATTCATAAGTGCGACCGACTTAAATGTCTTTCCGTTCTCATGAGATAACTTGCTCCATGTCAACTGACTCCCCTCCACTTTCGCGACTGTCAAATTGACATAGCCGTGAACGAATTCCTGATTCGCTCTCTTGACGTTTATGCGCCCTTCAAAAACTCCCACTTCATCCACTCCAAACCGACTCATCGTGAGGGTCCAGTCCTGCGGAGGAATGTCGGCCCAAACCCAGTCGCCACGTCTGTTCTTCGTTGAACACCTTAAAATGGTGTTTTCGGGTGTCGGATCGAGCATATACTTGCCTAAAAGCTTGATGGCTTCGGAGGTAGCGTCCTACCATCTGTTGTAAGTGAGTTGGGACCGATAAAAAGGTTAAATCACCTCGTATGTCGTGGGGCAACTTGTTGTCACAACATAGTGATCTTGACCATCTTTGTACGCTTGGGGCAGAATGAACTTGATGGAGGTTGGCATAGAATGGGAAACCGATGGGATGATCGCAGGTTCATTAGTGGCAGTCTGAACTGGATCACCTGTGTTTGCTTTATTATTTGAGTGAGAGGATGGCATGGTATGTCGGTGATATCAGAGACAGTTGCAAGATGTTGGGAAAAGAGATGATCGTTTGATATTGTCAGATACCAGCGCTCGGCCCATTGGGCCATGGCCTCATGTTGTAATGTTGTGCAGAAGGTTTATGTCCTTCTTAGCTCAGTTGGTAGAGCGCGTCACTAGTATTGAGACCAAATGACGAGGTCAGTCGTTCAAGTCGGCTAGAAGGAATGTGATGTTTATCTTATTTTTCTCCTGGGCCTGTGAAAAACTGTACATTGTTACGAAAAGGAATTATGAAAGGGATTCTTGAATGAGTGTGAGGATCAGAGTTGGCAGACAGGTTCAGACTTTTCAAAAGCCTTCAACCGGTCGTAACATCTAGGTTCGAAGGGGCAACCAATAAGATCTTTGAGCTTCTAACCCCAGTCACGGAAAGCTGGCGTTCGGCATTCCCGAGAGAAATGAGAGATCGACGATTTATGAGCTTCCTCCTTCGCACCTCTGATCTCATAGCTGAAATTGATCGGTTCGCGAAGTTTTTCGATAGCGTAACGGTAAACCACGAGTCCGTAAGCTCAGCGTCGTTAAGAAAGTTAGCCTCCGTCGAACCTTGGCCATTTGACGTGAGCGTCAATGTGTGGTTCGCGTTTAGCATAAACAGATCGCGTTCAAATTCCCCACTTTACTACGGTACCTTCTCTAGAACACGGAAATGACCCCTTTCCAAAGGCGAGTAAGGATCTTAACATAAATCCTTCTGGCACCTTTTTTCCACTCGACACACATTAGCTTTACGTTCGTACAATACCTGAATTCCGAAAGGGATGATAATCCTCTTGTAAAAAAGAATTATCCTGGATTATTTTCGCATCAAGTATGACCAGCCTTGTGAATGCCAGGAGGCGTCAACATGATTAGGATAGTAAGTACGCTGGGGAAAGGGGCGCACATATTGATCCGTGTCATCCGCTAGAAACGTCGAAATCCCGCTGAACACTTCTCTCGACATTGACACGCACCGCCAACGGCGCGGGAGGGGCGGTCTTCTACGTCAAGAAACAAAAGGTTGGTATTTCAGGTTAGGAAAAGGAGAGCCACTACGCTCACGGAGAAACGACCGAAGGCAGAGGTGGATCTAGAGGTGGAATTGCTAGACCATTTTGCTTCTTCGTTGCGCGCTTGTGATTGAGCCGAGCGAATGTGCTTGCGTGAATTCAACCTTTTTGTGCCCTGTTTGAGCTTTGACGATAAATAGTAGGAGTGAGGAACTTACGTCGCGAGGAAGGAATTGGCGTAAACTGGTGAAATGTGGATCAAATGGCGAATCAGGAAAGGTAAGAACAAATTGACGTTTTGGAAGTATAACCAGAAGAGCGAAGAATATTAAGCTTTGTTCTAATGCTAGCCACTAACTCAAGGCATTAGCGTAGAATCGGAATGAATTTCGTCTGCTTACACAGATCATTGTGGCCAAAGATAGCGCTCTAAAGATAAATTATACAGAGGAGGAACAACGTCATTATGAACTCACGCCGTCAACAATGTCATTTCCAGTGTATACAAAATCAGCATGTCGATGACGCGGTTCAAACTATACAGAGCATTAATAGCGGAACCTCTTAATGGAAAAGACTCGCCTCATGTAGACTCGCCTCCAGTCTCTATGGAATCAAAACTCAAGACAACAGATGTGTTTTTTTGGGTCAGTCCGGATTAGGAGGGTTGTGCACGGGTAATTGATTCCATAGAGCGCGCCTACGGGCGCAAAGCCCGCTACGGCGATTATATAAAAAGCAAATAAAAAGTAAATGTTTTTTTCTCTCTTAAAAAGTGACTTTGGGATCCTTTGTTGGCTGCTCGTCGCCGAACCGCTTACGCGGTTCGCTCCTCGCAGCTGGCACCTTCAACAAGTTTCACGACGATGACGAAGCGGAAGCCAAACAAATGCAAAAGGGCTACAAACAGGCGTAACGTATCCCACGGTGGAGCCCTTGAGCGCTGCAGGCTAAAACCCACTACTTACGTACAGTCATCCACCCACTAATGATACATTGAAATTGAGAAATTAGCTTCAACAAATGTGAGCACAATCTTTCACCACAAAAACTACATGAAAATCTTTGATAAATGCCCTTCTATAAGTGTACCAAATTTCAGAATGTTTGAACAGCATTTGAGGAAGAAAAACCAAAATTAAGGGTGTATCATTGAGGGGTGTGACTGTATTTCGGCCATTTCTGAAACAGTCCATTTTGGAAACTCCACAGCATCGTCAATGCTGCCTCAAATGTCTCCAAATTTTGTACAGCAGTAGATATGAGCTTATATTACTTGTTGCAATTTTTTTCGTAAAAATCGGTGCGGTATTGAGTGACATATGAGCTAGTCAAAAGTGTATCAAATGGGGGTGGTGTATCATTAGGGGGTGGATGACTGTAGCGGGCATAAATTGGTAATAATTTCAGGCTGACTATGTTACATAATAACTCAGGTAAACAAATAAACTCTGTAGCGCCGCAGCGATCACATATAAAGGAAATAAGTTGATCTTGGGCTATTTTGGGATCGTTTATTGGCTGCTCGTAACTGCTTCTCTCCTCGCCGCCAACGCAAATTGATGAAGCTCCTTAGACTCGCTACCAGTTCGCTCGGTGGTGATCACGCTGTGTTTGTTCCATGTTGTGGCTTTGTTGTGGCTTCAAACATCAGGTGGAGAGTGAAAGGCAAGATCACCACCAAAGGACTGGGCGGAACAGAGCCAGATTTGTCGAGGTCCCCATGTGTGACACAACACTTACAGCTCTTTGCATAATTCCGTGAACACCGAGATTTTATTTTCCAGCGTGACGTGACATCTCACCTATTACTAAGCAATGTCCATCTCTCTTAACTCTTCACCGTCCTCAGCGTTGCCACACTATGAAGCTCTTATTGTCTATTCCAGTGCTATCAGTAACTCACCAAGAACCCACCGGAATGGATCCTACTCTCCCTGCCAGATCTTTGAGCTGGATGTGAATCCTGGTTCTGTGCATGGTGTTCCATAAGCTTATTGTTCTCCAAAAGCTCACTCCCCCCTCACTCATACAGAATACCTGAATAGCATTCCTGGTGGCCCTATCATCTTGCCTCAGTCTCAATCCCAGCCAATCGTCAATGTTTGAGGGCCTAACAGTCTGTTTACTGAATATATTGTTGACTTGCCCATGTGCTTGGTAGTTACACATTTAAAGTTTAGATATAAGCCCTACAGAGCAATCTACCCTATCACAAATTCCTCAATACATCAATAAGCCTTCCTCAAAATACCAGTTGTCTGACAGTGAGTCATGATCATTGTGCAAGACTCTGCAAGTAGAAACGATCCCCTTTTAGGTAACTATGTCACATCATGCCAGGAAAACAAAATCTGCATGTTCACAGAATTATGCAAACGGCTGTAGTGAAATTTCGCATTTTGCGCCAGAACATCGAAATAGCGTGGCAACACTTTCAAAAAAAAAGTGCTTGAGGCACATATTTTAATGGAGTGTACTTGTAAAAATAACGTGAATGACACAGATCCCAAAAACAAAAAAAAATTGAAGCTGAAGAATTAGGTACTGGCGGTGCTGGTGGTGGTGGTGGCAGAGGATAACTAGGATACGCAGCCTTCAAAAGGCTTCAAATACGACGGAAGATGAAACTGGTATCACTTGCTGCTCTTAAATGACAGGCCACATATCCCAACACAGCCTCCACCTCCACCCCTGGTTACATCTCCAATTCCTTTGATTCCAGCAGCTGAAGGCAACAAGAACAAATTTGAGGAAGGTCCAACTACAGATGACGTTGAGAACAGGGTGGCAGAGGAAACCTTGTCACGGTTGACTGAGGAAGATGTTGTGCTTGATATGGACGAGATTGTAGTTGAAGATGAAGAATTTGTCGATACAGGTGAGTCAGATAGTGACGAGGGTGAAGGCGATATGGGTAGTGTTGATGGCGAAACCTCCCAGAGCATTCACCAGTTGCTGGCGTGGCGAGGCGGCTGGCATGTGAACCTGGTGAATGGTGGCGAGACTGGCAAGACAGATATTCATTCAGTGAGTTGTTCAGAACACAAAAAACAGTATCATAAGCTCTAGTTGACATGTAAGGATCAAGTTAGCCAAAATTTCCAGAGAGCTTCACGAATGTAGCACCAATAATGGATAGTGAGGAGCATGGCACCTTCCGAATTGCGCTGCGGATGTATTCAAAACCCACAGATCAAGCTTTCGTCAATTGGAACACCATTTCAATGAAATGGAGTTGTTGAATCTCCGCTGATAATAGGTTTTCATACGAGAAGTGTGAGCCAAAAACATTTGAAAGTCCGAATATCACCTGGTGGATTGCCAAGTCTCGCCACCCCTTTGCAGAAATTTTTGGTCGCTAGGTGGCGAGGTGAGATGGCAAAGTTTTGCCAACAACACTAGATATGGGCCAGATGGAACGAGGAATGGGAGTGATGAGGTTGATGGCAGATGACAGTCGATACAGAGCAGACGTACCAATTTGATGAAATTTCACCAAGTCCCATGTCACAAAATGTGACCTCGACAAGACTCAATCCATTCAGCCCAGCCGTTTCTGAACGTAGCTTGCAGAGTTTGAAGAAACGGTTGGTCACACCTCGGGCCTGACGCTTCTCAAGCGCTAGACGGCCTCAGAGGCCAATTCTTTGTCTGGTGGTAATTGACCTCTGAGGGGGGTGATCCCATCACTACCCACGCTGTTGTCCCAAAAATAGCTCCGGCTGATGGTTGCCAGTGTCCAGGCATGTGCTGGACATGAGCGCTGAGCACTTGGCGCTTGGCTAGCCTGCGATGTCAACAACCCCTTCCAACGACAAACAACCTCCACCCCCTTCAGTGACATGTTGCCCACCAACCGCTTGCTCTGCCTACTCTCTTTGCGCAGCATTCTACACCACCAAACAGGGATTCATGCCGCCACCAATATCCAGCCTGGTATATATCAGCGTCAAATGGCCTGATGCACTTAACAATGGTGCGGAATTATGGTCGCTGTAGAAGGGTCATGGGAACTGGTTGTTTTTTCAATCCAGATAGTTAAGTTTTCTACCATTCATTCCTGATGGTGATCAGACCACACGAGGCCAATGTGCAGGATGTTCAAACTTCACACCTAGCCATCCACGGAACTTTCGACAGCTGAAATTTTTCTGAAACGTGAGTCTTTCCTTTATGTGAGATTCTTCTATCTCTATACTCATATCAGTATCACATTTCAAGCACTTTCCACCAATGGAGTCTGCTCAGAACTTGATGTGTCACACATTTACCTAGTGTTTGGAAGTCCGGTCTTGTGACTGGAAAAAGACTGTAACCAGACCAGACCAAGACCACAAAAGACCGGACCTGCGGTTATGGTCTTTTATTTTTGAAATGTAAAGACCGCAAAAAAACCGGTTAACGTGAACCGGTCTTTTGTAGCCCCTTAAATACCCTTTAAAACGCACCCAAGAACGTATGATTTGGTAAAAAAACGAGAGAGAGATATGAATTAAAATGTAAATTACTTTTGGGAATAATAAATGTACCAGACTTATTTTATAGAAGCACCAATTCCTAATGGAATTTAACGTTCTTGGGCTCGTTTTGAAGCTATTAGAGATGTTAATAAATTTACCGATTTATAATTTTAAAATATTGGCCTAAAGACCGGTCATAAACCGGTTAAAACCGATGCAGACCGAAACCAGTCTATAGACCGCAAAAAACCGTGGTCTGCGGTCTTTTTGTGGTCCGGTCTGGTCTTTTGACTTCTGGGGAAAAGGCAGACCGATTACGGTTACGGTTAACGCCCCTGGGCATCAAAAAACCGGACCGAACCGGACTTTCAAACACTACATTTACCAAATCTCTTGGTCACGACGCTCTCCTCCTACCTCAACATCTGCTCCGAATGGAAAGGACTGTAGTGATAGCAAGAAGTGAGGAAACAGGTGGATAATCGTTTGCGAGTGAGTACTGTATGCCGTTTGTAGTTCTGTTTTCTTCTGATGTTCCCTTGTTCCCAAGACATATGACGGTCACCCTCTTCTCTTCGGTAAGCCTTAGGTTCTCTCCTTTGATTGGAATGTATTCTGACCAATATATATTTGAGCCATGCATCAATGTGCTTCCCGAGTCTCGTTTCTCGAGTTCTCCTGACATGTCAATCCCGGCCGATGTTTTATCATTCTCTGCAGCTGGGGACTTCTTTATTATTTCGATGTAGGTTAGATTATCAATGGACCTTACAATATTAACTCTTGGAATACACACTTTCCATCCTTGCATCATCCAACTTTCAATAGAATTGAGAAATGACAGAGATTCTGATGTGGAGACCATAACATAGAAAAAATAACATCGGAGGCACTCATTCATATCCTGCAGCAGCTTTGCGTTCATAGAGACATAATAGAACTACTCTTTTGCATTGGAATTGGCTCGATGTAGGACAAAATTCATGGGGTTGTTGTTGTTGTAGGCTGTAACTGTTGCTACAATCCTTAAGACGATAATCTTTGCCCAACTTTGATGTAGTCTACGTGGTCTGACCTTTACTCCAGAAAAATATAATTTGAACCTCGCTTCCACCTCCTTCCTCAATACTAACTCAATATCGCTGGTTTTCATGCATTGGGCTACATGATGGCTGGCATTGGTATTTTTTTTGTACGGCGTGAATCAGTAGACATGAGATCAAGTGGTTTCCGCAGCATCATTTTAGTATATAGCGAAAGGTCCTTTCTGCTGGTGTCAGTTTTAACTGCACACTCTCAAAAAGTTCGAAATATAGTACCTGGTAATATGGCTCCCACAAAAATGAGGTCCACAGGTGCTTGGGGAAGAACAATTTGAAAAAGGTTCAGGTAATCGACTCACTTGAACTCTGCCTGTAACTTATGCCTCAAGGAATGCCTCAGTATTCTTCTCCTTGAAACCGGACTTGTCATTGGAGATAATGAGACTTGGATTGCTATGGTGAATTGATTCTAGTGCTGTGAATTTGCGAGGTCTGAGAAAACAAACCATCCATTGAGCAGAGTCTGTTGCTAAGATGTTGAATGCCTGAGAGTTACATCTTTTCTTTATCAATTCTGCATTTATGGTTAAACAGGGAAATATATACAGGAGTGACTATAATGGTTTCCTATTTTTCGACAATTTCTTTCTTCTGGGGTAAGCCTCCTCAAGATGGCCGTGAAATAGACAGGTGCAGCCACCACCATTTAAAATCGAACCCCCACCTAGTGTAAACCACTGGCAATATGTATAATTTTCAGAGTTATGAAATTCTTATTTTACAGAATGAGCTAGGGGAGCGAGCGGGAGGGCGTCGCGGTACTGTTGTCCCGGGAATGTGGGCTCCCGATGGAGTTCTGGCACGAAGTTTAATCCAGAATTCTTAGTCTGTGTGCTGAGTGAATGGACAATGGCAATCATGGTTTCAGAATATAACAGTTTGCCTACATTTTCAGCAGATTGAGGAAACCTGGCTGCGGGTAATGTAGGTCGAGTGCTACCTCGCAGTGCAGCAACCGACAGGCTGTCGCTTTGATGCTCTGGCAGCTATTTTTAGACGTGAAAAGAAGCGTGCTTGATTTGGATTTTTTATGCCGGTGCGAGAGCGGCCACACCCCTCAGAGGCCAATTCCTACCATCAAAAGAATCGGCCTCTGAGGTCTGCTGTCACTCAAAAGCGTCAGGCCTGAAGTGGTTGGTCACGAGCCTAGAAGCTCCTTTCTCTGATTTCACAAACAGGCGTAACGTTATGTCGGAGATTTAATTCTTTCGTCACAACCAGCTGAGATTGGGACGGCATTGAATCGGCGTTCTAACCGGTGCTAACTGTTGAAAGTTGCCCATTTTTCTGTTTTTTAGCCCCAAATTGGCTACAATCGTGCAACAATCGCGTCACAAGCTCCATTGCAACCAGTTGCCACCCTGGATGGGACCAAAATTGTGACTAAAAACTCTTTGGTTGGTTCTGTTTATAACGGCCATTTTGAAAGGAACGTCCACAACAAGTTAGAACCGGTTGTGATGCCTAATTAGAAAACTCCGACATACACGTATCCCACGAACCTTATCTAACCTCGCTTGCAACCCAACCGCAACCCTTACACACAAGGAGAAGGAAGCCGATCAACTGTAGTATGTGGCCACACAAGTTGGGCTCCAAAAGTAAGCAGCTGTTTACTGCGAGATCAATCTAAGTATTTCGACCACAGGTTTGACGATGCAGTGAGCAACCTGCTTGAATTGGCCATCGAAACGATGACTCTTCTGATGGACAAGTTCGAATTTGGCAGAGAGATGATGATGGCGTTTGGCTTGGTAGGCATTAACTCTTCAGTGTTTGATTGCAACTGATACGCAGATCTACAGGTGCAAAGAAGCTTGAATAAGTTCCAGTGCGGTAAACGCGTTTGGAGAACAAGATACGGTGGAACTCTTTGTGGATGAAGATGCCGCGGGCGCCTTTGTGTGACCGATACACACACAGCTAACGTCCTCATGGCCTCATCTACGGATTCCAGGCCTTCACGGTTTAACTTTTAAACACCATGCAGGCTAAGTCACGTGTAAGTAGTAAATGTTGACAATGACAGTTGCCCAGTGCTTGGTCACCGCAGCCACGGCAAGATATGTTCGCAGTCACCGACGTCATCTCTGGCCGCAACAAGTTCCTCCGATCCATCCGGGATTCCGGATTAAAAATTTCTGATTCCCGGACTTGTCGGCATACGCTTCGTTTGCAACCGGAACGCTGGAGCCCAACGGAGAGACAGACGTTTCTTCTGGCGAGGTATATAAGTAACCACTACCTTCAAGAAACGTGGAATCCACTTCCTAGTTGAAAGCACGACCACGAATTTCACCAAATGACATGTGAGTCGAACATTTTGAGTTAAAAGGGCGAACGCACCAACGCTTATTCATCGAGAAAAAAACGAGTCAGAAGGCTGTTGCCTGTGGGTACACAGGATTCATATGGGGATCGGCTTGGTGACTTCCGGAAGGAACTAGCAAATGCAAATTTCCCCCTATAAAACTGGTCGAAGGGGTGCGCAAATCCGCAAAACATCGACATCATGAGTGCAGAGAACCGTCAATTCCGGGGCGGGACTAGTCACCTCTCCAAGGCTACGTCATGTATCCCATGTCGTAGGGGGAAACTAGTGCGCTTTCCCCATCCCCCTCACCCTTACTTCGAGCTAACGTAACTATCATCTTTAGAAGTGTGATAGAGCCCGCCCTGCATGCGAACAATGTATAACTCACGATCGGTCCGAAGATTGTCAATATGAAGAGACCAACGTGCCCACACAAACAGAAATTCTTGAGGAACAGATTACACGCCTCGAGGCACGAATTCGCCAACTCAAAAAAACGCCAAATTCACAGGCCTCTATTACTTTGAGCGACCCTTATGCGAGTCGTCAAATATCTATTCTCCCGCAAAGTCCCGAGCACGATGAACTGATTCCTCCCACACTTGAACAGCTGTGAGTAAATCGCAACTTAATCTAAGAGATATCACCTCACCATAATGTATAGATTGAATAGTTTTCTGCCTTACTCGTCAGAATTAGGGTTCTTTCTCAACGCAGCGCGATTTAAATCCGCGATGCTCCTTGCCCTTCCCATCGGTCATCCGTCACGACCTGCGCCTCCTCTAATCTACGCTGTCTCTCTCTGCGGAATTTACATCTCCCGTCAGGCCAATAGTGATATACTAGAGGAGAGATACCGTAGACTAGCTGTCGAAGCAACATACTCAAACCTCTCAGGAAGTCACCCGCTTGAAATGATACACGGGATTCAAGCAGAGGTGCTCCTCGCATACTACTTCATCGCCAATTCTCGTTATCCAGAAGCACGATATCACATCACCGCTGCAGTTTCGATGTCCATTTACGCCGGGCTTCACAAAATCGGCCCTGCAACAACAACGGTCTTACTGCCTCCACAGGACAGTGTAGAGGCAGGGGAACGCATTATCGGAATGTGGAGCGTTTTGATCTTGGATAGGTCATTCGCCAACAGCCTCGGCGAAGCCCCGCAGATGATCTTTCCATCTGATGACCCATCCTCTCAATTTGTAACTCCATGGCCGTTAGATATGGGAGAATACGCGCAGGTGCGATGCTTTCATTTTATTCATCCGTCCCAAAGTAAATCGTCGATTCTCTCTTTTTTTTTTTTGAGGGCCATTTCCGGCCTAATGTGACAGCGAAAAGCACGATATTGGATTTTTTAAATGGACAAACGCCGCCCAACAGCGACAAATCCCCGTTGGCCATGCACGCCAAAGCAGTATTGTTGTGGGAAAAGGTTGCAGAAATGGTTCGCAATTCTGACCGTGGTGAGCATGCACGAAGATCAATATCTAAAACTAAATTGACTGTTCAAGTATGAACCAGGAATGGAACCTTCCAATTCTTCCGCATTCTTCACGGCTTTTGCAATCCTCGACGCCCAAATTCAGCACCTCCAGGCCTCTTTGCCGCCCCTTGCATTCATACCAAGTATCCGCAAACCGGAGCATGTAAGAAAGCTTGTGGTGTGTCACAGCATCCTCCACGCTTGCCTGATCAAATTACACGCCCTCTTCGCAGAGCGCAACGATGATTTGAAGCGCAAGCGGTTAGACGCGGCCAAGGGCGTGTTTGAGGGGATACTGATGCTCGTGCATGGCAATTATCAATTCCTCAACCCCACCATAGCGGTAACGTCAAACTCCAATCACTTCTCCTCATGCTCATCCTTATTTTTTCTCCTACCAAAGTACATTTGGCTAGAGGCAGCACAGATCATCATAAACGAGGTAAAATCGTTGCGATCCCATGAAAAATGGGGCGATTCCTCTGAAAGATCAATGTCAAATTTGATAGAGCGTGTGCTAACTGCAATACAGCCCTTCGCCAGCCATGGCTCACTGATGAGTACGTGATAAAAAATATATTTTGGAAATTTAATTATATCTTCTTGCAGGAAATGCTGTAAAGCAAATGGAGGACATGTACAATGCGGGATGACAGTATGGTTACCTGTCGGACAATCAAGTCAACATGATCATTCCGATCGTACAGCAATTACTGCCATAGCGCGGGTCTCGGAATTTCCTGCCTTCTTATATCTGTAGATTAATTTCTCGAGGTCCATCGTCGTGAACCTTTAATCAAAGTAGCTGACCAGATAATAATTCTTACAAGTTCTTTGTTAATACATTGTTAGAACAGCTTACAAGTTCTTTGTTAATACATCGTTAGAACATGGTGGGTGCGTGCATGGATCAAGTACCGTTGAATGTGCTGGGTAGCAGAACGAGGGCCAGCTGTCCGTCAGCCTCGTGAAACTATTTCTGAGTTGGGACCGCTTCGGAGTACATCCTGGCTATCTGAGAGTGTAATACCATGTGAAAGGAGCCGATCCGGACTGAAGCAGCTTCAGGGTGAATTGGCTCGAGTGCATACTATCAAAATTGCACATCACCCGAATGGTGGGGTTTGACACGACATTGAGAAGGAGTGTTTTTGTCGCCATCGGTTAGGTGCCTACCGATGATGAGGATGAGCCGACAAGATTCGTGTTACGGAACTTGCGCCAAGGAGCGACTGCGTGAATTAGGGCAGGTCATTCGAATTTCCGGCCAGATACCGGTGTTTGTGGGCTAAAAAGAAAAAGAAAAAGAAAAAGGGAAGAGGAGGAAGGGAGGACCCAAACCTCACAATATCAACACGGCGTGCAACAACACAAGCAAGCAACCTGCAGAACACTGAGCTGAGCTGCGGCAGTGTGTCCTGTGGGTGTTTGCGAGCTGTAGGAAACGGGGTAAAGCGGGATACTGGATACTCGCTCAGATTTGCGAGATCATCAGGGCTTGTTTCCTCCTTTTAGATTTATTTCGTGTTATATAAGCTGGATACTCGCTTAGAGCCTTAGATTACACAAAAGGAACAGTCAGATCTCTGATAAGATAGAACAAGCTTTAGACCCGTTCCTCCAGGACAGGTCACATAGTTCATGAGTTACAACAGAATTCCAATGCAAGTTCAATCCCTGCACATTTTTTCTTTGTGGAATTTGAGAATAGTTCGAAAAAACTAGTGTTTGAAAGTTAGGTTAGTTAACCAGAAAATAACTGGAAAATAACCGGACCTAACCGCAACACTAACCTAACCGCGGTTAGGGTTAGTTGATTTCGAAAATGGAATAACCGGTTATAACGAGCCCTATTATACACCTTCAAAACGCACTTGAGAACGTCGAAAACACTTAAAATTTGACTAAGTTACAGTCAAATCTCTAAAATATCACTCAAATGTGTAGACTTTCAAGGATAATTGCATAAATATGTCAATTCTTCACCGATTTTAGCGTTCTTGGGCTCGTTTTAAAGCTAGAATATGCAGAAATAATATCTATCAAGATACATATGAGCATATTTGCCTTGTTATAACGGATTCTTTATTTTTCGGTCCAAATAACCGACCGTAACTGGTTAGTTGCAGTCCAGTTAGGTTATTTTAGGTTTCGGGACAAAGGCTAACCGGTCTCGGTCTCGGTTACAGCCCCTGGGCACCCAATAACCGGACCTAACCGGACTTTCGAACACTAGAAAAAATGATCATTGAGAATGGTATTCTACACAGTAACAAATAGCTAAATGACTACCATGAAGCAGGGCACGCTGACGTGCCCTGCTTCTCATGAAAAAAGGTGGAGAGAGGAGCCATCTTGCTCACCTGGATTGATGTGGACAGTGATGACGACATGCATCATCACAGTCTGGACGTCATGGCACGTCTATTAGTGTTGCCGCGGCTTTGGCTTTTAGCTGGTTGAAGCCACAGCTGAGCCGAGCTGAGCTGAGCTGATGGATCTGGCTTGGCTACTGCTTGAGCCGGCTAGAGCCGGGATTTTGAGCCTCATCAACCACACATGCTAGCTCATTCAAAACAAATAAAATTAGCTTTTGTTGTACATATTATTTAACTAGTAATAGAATATACTGTAAATGAACCTAAGATCATAGAAAATAGCTAAGAATTGCCCGAGACTGAGTCACCCCCCACCAAAACAGAAAATGCAACATATCTCCAGAATGCAGACACGCAAACCTCTTGTCTCTTCAGGACCTTCAAACGACACTATAGTAGATTGTAAACGAGCCTTAGATTATAAGAAACAATGGAAATTTGACTGACCTAGTGTACTTGCCCCCCCAAACAGAAAATGCAACATATCTCTGGAATGCAGACATGCGAACCTCTTGTCTCTTTGGGACCTTCAAACGACACTAGAATATGTTGTAAACGAGCCCTCAACGATAAAAAAAGGTAAAGAATTGACCGAGATAGAGCTTAACCCCCCCAAAACCAGAAAATGTGGAATATCTTGAGAGTGTGGACACGCAAACCTCTCGTCTTTTCGGGACCTTCAAACGACACTATAGTAGATTGTAAATGAGCCTTAGATCATAAGAAACGATGGAAATTTGACTGACCTAGTGTACTTGCCCCCCCAAACAGAAAATGCAACATATCTCCGGAACGCAGACACGCAAACCTCTCGTCTTTTTGGGACCTTCAAACAAAACTAGAATATGTTGTAAACAAGCCTTTAATGAAGGAGAATGATGGAGAACTCATGAAGATAGAGTACACCCTCCTGCTGAAACTTAGCATGACAGATCTCTCAAAAATATGATGGCAGATGCCTCTCGTCTCTTCAGGCCCTAAAATTGACAGCAAATAGCTGGTAATCAACACTGATTTGGTGGAAAACGGTACAGAACTCACCGAGATACAATATAGCCTCATGGTGTCTATCCAGCACCCATTACATGTTTCTTAGGGCTATTATTGGGCTATTCATGTGCCCATTCTTAAGTTATACTATGCCAAACTCATTTATAATTGGTGTGGTACACTACTTAAGTTTACGGTCATACATAGATTGGGGGGGAGGTGAAATGGGAAAGCAAAAGAGCATCTGTCGTTTCTGAAGCACTATATATATGAGGCACTTTAGGGCGGGTTATGATCTAGGGCAGGCTCTAGATGAGTTATGATCTAGGGCAGGCTCCTAGATGTGCATTCCAGAGATATGTTGCATTTTCTGTTTGGGGGGGCAAGTACACTAGGTCAGTCAAATTTCCATTGTTTCTTATAATCTAAGGCTCGTTTACAATCTACTATAGTGTCGTTTGAAGGTCCTGAAGAGACAAGAGGTTTGCGTGTCTGCATTCTGGAGATATGTTGCATTTTCTGTTTTGGTGGGGGGTGACTCAGTCTCGGGCAATTCTTAGCTATTTTCTATGATCTTAGGTTCATTTACAGTATATTCTATTACTAGTTAAATAATATGTACAACAAAAGCTAATTTTATTTGTTTTGAATGAGCTAGCATGTGTGGTTGATGAGGCTCAAAATCCCGGCTCTAGCCGGCTCAAGCAGTAGCCAAGCCAGATCCATCAGCTCAGCTCAGCTCGGCTCAGCTGTGGCTTCAACCAGCTAAAAGCCAAAGCCATGGCAACACTAGTTAGTGCTCCAAAGCTCTGGCCAAAAGTTTAACATGCCAGTGTTCCGAAGGTCCCGGCGAAAAAATGTCCGAATTTGTCTACCATGCTGAACTTCATTGCTCCGAAACATCGGCCGAAAATTTAACATGTCAGTGCTCCGAAGGTCCCGGCGAAAAAATATCTGAATTTGTTTAACATGCTGAATGTCATTGCTCAGCCGAAAATTTAACATGTCAGTACTCCGAAGGTCCCAGCGAAAAAATGTCCGAATTTGTCTTTAACATGCTGAATATTATTGCTCCGAAACATCGGCCAAAAATTTAACATGTCAGTGCTCCAAAGGTCCCGGCGAAAAAATATCTGAATTTGGCTAACATGCTGAAATGTCATTGCTCAGCCTAAAATTTAATATGTCAGTGCTCCGAAGGTCCCGGCGAAAAAATGTCCGAATTTCTCTTTAAAATGCTGAATGACATTGCTCTGAAACTCCAGCTGAAAGTTTAACATGTCAGTGCTCAAAGGTCCTGGTGAAAAAATGTCCATATTTGTCTTTAACATGCTGAATGTCATTTCTCATGTATTTCGGAACATCAAAAGTATCGGATGATAAGTATATTCTTTGGGAGGCCACACAATGTTCCCAGAAGGTCAGGCAATGTCCCTGGAATGTCACACAATGTCTCCGGAAAGTCAAACAGTGTTTCTGGAAGGTCAAACAACATTTCCAGGAGGTCAAACAACAATTTCACAACTAAGAACTGCTGAAATCCTTCATTTTCATATGTACTTTGGTGTATTTAAAGCATTGAATGATAGTACAGGGTGCACATATTCCCCGGAAGGTAACACAATGTTCCCGGAAGCATTTCGGCACTGACAGCTGCCTAAACCTTTTATTTTGACATGTATTTCGGGAGATCAAAAATATTGGATGATAGGTATATTCTTTGGGAGGCCAAGCAATGTTCTTGGAATGTCAGGCAATGTTTCCAGAAGCTAAAGCAATGTTTCTGGAAGGTCAAACAAGAACTTCAGCACTAAAAACTGTCCATGCCCTTCACTTTCACCTGTATTTTGGTGTATTGAACATATTGGATGATAGTAATGAGTGCACATATTCCCCGGAAGGTCAGACAATGTTCATGGAAGTATTTTGGCACTGACAGCTGCTGAAACCTTTATTTTAACATGCATTTCAGAACATGATGATAAGTATGTTCTTTGGGACGTCAAGCAATGTTCCTGGAAGGCCAAACAATGTTTCTGGAACGTCACACAATGCTTTCAGAAGGTCTCATAGTGTCTAAAGGTTTGTAGTGTCCAATATTTCAGAATACGAAAGTTTGTAGTCTCCACTTTTTGAGACTACAATGGTTTGGAATGTTGGCTTTCAAACTATGAAAAAAAGAATTTGCCATTGATATAGTTCAAGGAATGAGAATGACACAAAGTTCAATCTTAAAACCCATGATATGACAATGGCATAATGCCCACCCTTTTCAGTCTTTCAATCACAGCCCCATGAACCTACATGCTTATTCATAGTGAAGGACACCACCAATTATGTGTCAGAAAAGTGGATTACAACCTTTTGAGGTTTGAAAAAGCGGACCATACAAATGTGAAGAGTAGACACTACATACTTGTAGTCTCAGAAAGCAGATACTACGGAATTCTGTAGTCTAAAAGCAAACATTACAAACAATTGTAGTCTCAAAAGGTGGAGACTACAAATTTCATAGTCTGAAATAATGGACACTACAAACTTTTGTAGTCTAAAAAAATGGACTCTACAAACTTTTGTAGTCTAAAAAGCGGACACTACAAACATTCTGTAGTCTAAAAGTTGACACTTCAAACACTTATCGTAGTCCATGCGGGCATAAGGACATGTTTGCAGCTGGGTTGGCAGACCTTTGACATTCAGCATACTAATTAAAACTCTGGATGTGTTGTCAGGTGCATTTTCAGAGCACTGACATCAACACAAATATTTTTAGCTAGAGTTTCAGAGCATTAACATTCAGTATGTTAACCATAAATGGGGACATTCTTTTGGGTGGATGTTCGGAGCAGTGAGCACTGACATGTTTAACACAAATCTGGTATATTTTCTGCCGGAGTTTTGGAGCAATAACATTCAGCATGTTAAAGACAAATTCAGATATTTTTTCGCCGGGACCTTCAGAGCACTGACATGTAAAACTTTCAGCTGAGATTTCGGAGCAATGACATTCAGCATGTTAGAGAAATTCAGACATTCTTTCACCGGGACCTTCAGAGCACTATGTTAAATTTTCAGCCGATGTTTCGGAGCAATAATATTCAGCATGTTAAAGACAAATTCTGATATTTTTTCGCCGGGACCTTCGGAGCACTGACATGTTAATTTTTGGCAAACATCGGCCGAAAATTTAACATGTCAGTGCTCCGAAGGTCCCGGCGAAAAAATATCCAAATTTGTCTAACATGCTGAACGTCATTGCTCAGCTTAAAATTGCACTAATATTCAGCATATTAAAGACAAATTCAAATTCACCGGGACCTTCGGAGCACTGACATGTTAAATGCAAATCTGGTATTCTTTCAGCTGGAGTTTCGGAGCACTGACATTCAGCATGTTAAAGACAAATTCAGACATTTCTTCAGCCAGACTTTTGGAGGAGCCATGTGAGAGGGGAAAGCTGCTGGGGGATGGTGAATGAATGCATCCATTCACCAGGCATTCAAAACTAACAAACCACTGCTCCATTTGCATCTCAGCTCTTGGAGCCAAAGGCCAAAGGGCTAACCCTAACCCTATTCAGAACCTAGCCAAATTCTTCGAACTGTTAACCCTAACCCTAACCCCCACTCTGAAATTCGGTTCAGAAAGGGTTTTCCGGAGCCAATGATCAGGAGCTGAATGGGTTGCAAAAGATTGGGCCCAATTATGCCCCATAGCCTAATTACTAGTTGTAGAAGATGGGGCCCAACTTTGGCCATTTGTATATTCTCATGTTGGTCAATTTATGTTGTCTACAGGTCATTGGGCCCAATTATGTTTAGTGATGTGCCGGGCCCGGCCCAAAGCCGTAAGCCAGCCAGGGCCAGCCATCCCGAAGCCGGGCCTTGTTGGGCCGTCGTCGAGGCTTAGGAAAGCCCAAAGCTCAGGCTCATGAAGCTGGAAGCCTTGAGCCGCGGCCTGAGCCACGGCTCTTGTGGCTGATTGATTTTCAAATATTATCTGCATTTGGATAGAAACTGTACAGTCATCCATTCATATATATATATATATTCTATTTTTCTCTATCAGGTATACCACAACAAACCTCTTTATGGCTACACGTCGCACGGCTCGTCCCACGCAGAAGCTTGTTGACCCGGAAAATGCTGAAAAGCCGATCCTTTCTTCACATCGTGAGAATATTGCTACTGGGTGTGCAAATGCAGCTGCCAAGGGTTCAAATGGTACGTCGCTTTTTGCTATCTAATTAGTAATTACTATCTAATCTTGGGCAACAGCCACAGCCGCCGCCTTATCAGCATCTGATGCATCGCAACTGCCAACGTCAAGAGAACCCTCAACCGTTGACGACGTTATCGACGATATCGACGATGATCAAGCTCATGAAGAGGAATCTTCCACTGATTCCGCCGCACGTCCAAGTAAGAAGTCTGTAAGAAAAAGGAAGCGAGCAGAAAGTGAGTTTTTTACATTTTTTAATCGATGCAATGTGCTTTACTTACAACTGAATTGTCTAGGCAAGACAGTCGAAGACACAGATGCAACAGACGTGAACGGCATGTACAAGGACATACAGGTCATTGATCTGGGAGCCGACATAGATATCTCCACGCCGATCAAGAAAAGTCCGACATGCGATGTCGACCAGTTTTTCGAAACTGCAGCCCCACCGAAGAATGGTGAGAAGTACGGTAGATGCAAGTGCAAGCTTTGCTGGTGAGTATTTGAATTCTCCACGTTGACTACGTCTCATATTTTTGAAGGTCAAAATACAGCTAGGACTTTAATCCTGTTGCCGAACCCACGACTCTCTGACGACTTGCCGAATCGACCCATCATGTATGTACCTGTTCAGTGCTTCAAACTTCTAATCCAGACTAAATTTACTATCAGGGCAATTACTTGAATTGGTGTAAGAGAGAAGGCTTCGTCTCGATGCTCCCCAAATGTTCTCGTGAACGGCGTCTCAAGGCTGTTGAGAAGGCCCAGGCAGAACAAACACAAGTCGACAGTCACTTTGGTCCTGCCCCACCGAAAGCGGAGAAGCAAGCTCCGTACTCCGATGAACTATTTAATGAGGCGGCGATCCAATGGTTAATCGAGACGGATCAGGTAAGTTTTTCATAACTTCTTATATCCTCATACTCACGCTTGACACCCGCAGCCCGTTCAAGCATTTGAACACCCGGCGTTTAAACGGATGATCAACATCGCTGCTCAGGCAACTCGCGACGTCAAGTTCCTCGACCGAAAACAAACTCGGGCAGAAATTGTTCGGTTTTTTAAGGCTCAAATGACATGGCTCAAGAATCGACTTAATGTCTGTGTATTTTATTCTACCATGTTACTCCGTATCAACCATTCTTCTAGGATAAATCCAAGGTTAAGGGTCAGATTAGTTTAACGTGCGACGCGTGGCAGGCTTCAAATGCAGACAGTTACTTTGCTGTCACAGGCCACTGGATTGAAGAGAGCGCTGATGGTAAATCATGGTCACTACAGCATGCTCTGTTTGGTTTCACGCAAATGAACACGTCGCACAACGGAAAGCGTCTTGGGCAGGCACTCTTCAAAATTTGTGATCGCTGGGGTATTGTTCATAGAGTATGTTTATTTCTTCACGCGAAAAGCTACTTCAGAAGAGGAACACATGCCCGTGGTCATTGGGCCCGATCGTGATGAAACAGGCCTAGTCCGTGCTATAACTGTAAAGGTAAATTTTATCATTCCTCGATTTCTTTATTTGTTACCATTCTACGCACAGGAGCGATCATCTTCGCAAAGAAAACAACATTTTAAGGACATTCAAATACGTGAGGGTATCCAAATCCCCAAGCAGCTTATCTTGGACATGAAGATCAGGTGGGGATCTATATATGCGATGCTAAATAGAGCCGAAAACCTCAAAAAGGTATTTCGTCCATTTACACACCTTCTATTTAATCACTTTATACTTTCAGCACGTTGATGTTTTCGTTTACGAACTTGGAGTTAAATCGAAGGACGATCTTGGGAAAAGAGCAAAGATCGATGCGTTGTCTATGACCGCAGCTGAGTGGGGTCGTGTACATGATCTTTGCTCGCTCCTTGGCATGCGTGAACTCTCATTTTTTGATGTGTAACTACTAACGATGTGTGATATGTTTGGCCGTTGCATAGCACGCCGATAAGGTGCAGCATGTGTTTTCATCCACTAATATCCCATCACTCTGTCATGCCCTCCCCGCAATTGAAGCGCTCCACTCTGCATGGTCCAAGCGCACTAAACACCCACATTATGCCCCCTTCCATGATGCGCTCGACGCCGCCACCCAAAAGCTGGAAGAATATTACACAGACAAGACTGCCGACTCCAATGCTTATATTATGGCCATGTGTTCGTCTCTCTCTCTTTTTTTTTCTCAAGTCGCTGAGTGAATGTGATCTAGTACTGAATCCATCCATCAAAATGTCGCATTTCAAGAAACACTGGTCAAAAGAGTTACAGAAGGAGGTAATCGATGTGGCGCAAAAACTGGTACTTAGCCTATGCTTTCTGTTCATGTCTAAAGACTCAGTTATTTTTATATCAGTTCCAAGAGCGTTATGAAGAACTCAACAAGGAGTCTACTTCAGAAATATGGTCACCAAAGAAAAAAACAAAACTCGATCACCTGCTTCGCGAGCTGGATACAGATTCTGACAATTCAGGTGATGTTTCCGACGACGACACTGATGAGCAAGATCCAAAAAAACCATGGCTTGTCGAGTTCCACCGGTTTCTCAAGGTTGAGCACGTTTTGGCTGAAGGCATGACTGTTGTTCAATGGTGGGGAGTACGTATCTGTACTTCATTTACTGATTTCGGATGACTTACTATGCTCAGGAGTATGGCCACCGCTACCCAACATGGGCATCATTGGCTCGCGACTATCTGGCTGTCATGGCATCATCTGTGTCGAGTGAACGGGCATTTTCGGCTGCAGGCATTACTATTAGCAAGCGCCGCAACCGACTCAAAGGTGACATTGTCGAGGCACTTCAGTGCTTGAAGTGCCTCTATCATCAGGATCTGATTTTTCGTGAGGTGATAACTTGTTCAGAGGAGGAAGACGTACTTGATGAGGCTCTCCCTGAGATTTTAGACGGTTCAGATGGGTTTGCATGGGATCAGATACTCCTTGATGATGAGGATCTTGATTAGTTGCCTTGTTAGAATTATTAGATTATGTTACTGTCCATATTTCTCAACGAAATTAAGATGTACAAGACGCCTTTCTTTATCTCTACACATCTAAATTGTTTTCGGAGAAAGGGAATCTTAGTGTGGTGGTCATTTGCGTGAATACAATTCCTCGACAGATTGTTTGTACATGTTTTTCAACTTTAGCCCATGAGCCGTGGCCTGAGCCTGAGCCAGGCCTGAGCCAGCCTAAAGCCTTGCAAAAAGCTCAGGCTTGAAATTGGACGAGCCTGAGCCGTGCAAAGCCGGGCCATAGCCGTGGCTTTCAGGCCAAGCCGGGCCTGCACATCACTAATTATGTTTCTAAAGGGTTTTGTTATTTTGGCCCAATTGGCCCCAACAATGCCCACTTAACGTCTGCAGTGATTGGGCCAACCTATGTTCAATCACGTCAAATTAGATTGGGCCCATTGGGGTAGCCTTATGGTCCATTGGACAACTGACCACTTGGATATCTTAGGTTCCACTGCATATCTACTGAATGCCCTGCAGTTTTTCCATTTTTCGCTCTCCGCTGCTGACAGCATTTACACAGAGCTACAGCTGCAACTTTTGTCAGTCTATTATACCAGCTCATCCTGTCATTTTCGTCGTTGTACGCCATATTTCTCTTATTTTAAACGCCGCTAATAGCAATACTTCTATCACAGATGATTAACTTGAGTGCTCGTGAGCTGTCAGGCTTAAACGACAGTCTCTCCCTAAAAAATCTCATCCTCCTGCGCTTCGCAGAGTCGTCCTTTGGTACATACTTTTTTCTATCGGTGTGTACGCCATTCTTTCTTCTTGCCCACCATTCTAACATCCATTTTAGCTATTCTACTGTCTACTTAATGTGGCCTTCCACTTATCCATGACCCGCAAGTAAGTTCCTATATCTATCAACAGATTCGGCCATGCGGCATATATCCTCTTCTGGATGCTAAGCTATATTGGGATGCTCTCAGTGTACGCCTCCCCTGTCACTTTCTCCTCGCCTACTAATTTTTCCCTCAGCGGACTGGCTCTAGAATCTCTCGTCACGCTACTTACAGTAAGATTCATACCTTTTTTTATGCTCATGTGGATTATCAGTGCGTTTTTGTCTCTCACTCGATTTGTGCACCCCTCACCACCCCTCTAGCGAACATTTCCGTGTGTATATTCCCGATCGAGGTCCTCCCAACACGAGAAACATAGCGCAAGATCCCAAACTGGGATAGCCAGAGCAAGTGCGACACCTTTTCCGGGCTGGAATATTGCGGGGGCAGGTTAATAAATATGTAGGGTAATACTCTTTGTTGTAATTAGATTTTACCCTTTCCACAAAGAGGAAAGTCATTGGAAATTTTTGAATATTCCCACTCGGAATAGTTGAACAGATCCGAACAAAGAGTCCTTTCTCAGAAATTTCATTCTTTCCGGCCCCTTTTCACAGCATGTTGACAGTATGTATCAATTTTCCATGGCATCTGAAAACAAAGGATCCCTTTCCTTCGGCTTTCCTCTTTATCTTACTCACTTGTTTAACTTTTACTACAATATCACAAACAGGAAAATCTTTCAAATATTTTAACTTTTGTTCACCCTTTACCAGCTAAGAAAAGGCAAAGCAACTTTCTTGGCCCGGATTTTTTAAAATCCCATGCCTTTCCCCACGAGAAAAAATTTAAATATACTCAGGATGCTCCTGGAAAGAAAAGGTGTCGCACTTTCTCAAGATATCCTGATCGGTAATGTTGGGCAATGTTTCTCGTGCAAAGGTGTTCCGCTATGGATACGCCGCGCCGTTCTACAACGTCTCCCGCGCGATGAGGACCATCGTGTTTGGGACTAAGAATGAACGTTCGTCGCTGTCCCTCGTCGTTTCTTTGTGAGTTCGCTTACCTGTTTTCTAGTTGGACTGCACTTTGGCATTTTGATCGTGTGGATTACGATATCATGCATTACGTTGCCGTTGATTCGGTGCTTTGTGAGGAGAGAAGGCTCCGCAAAGACGGCGAGACCGGATCAGGACATGAAGGTTTGAGCTACGATGTTATGAACTTATTCAACGGAACCCACTTAATGCACAGTTGAGAGGTGAGGAGGCACTCAATTGTAGAAGACTTACCGTATATTAATTATGTGTATCCTGGAACGACGCCTTGCGAAGTTCAAACGGCCCTCTTTTCAGTCCTAAAAAAATCAGGGCGTTGTATATCTCAAGTCAACTTTTTCAAGGGAGTACTCACGTTGATGAAAAATGTCCTTAGTAACGTCGTTTTTGGGCGCGTCCCTTTGTCTTAATAAGAGGAAAACGACATCTCCAGGTCGATCAAGGCATCAAGTAGCAGTCCAGACATCCGCTCTTCCCTTGTGTCCACAAAGACAGGCAATAGTTGCTTCCATGTATCATTCATTTACTGAATATGTGTACTCTACTTGATATGTGGGTATATGTGAGTCCCGTGCCGCCATGCGTGAAATTAATATGGTCTATCGTTAGTTTATCGTGTCCGAGCTTCAAACTTCAACAGCTTTATCCGCCACCTTTAAATCCTCCGCGCGCTCGTCTCTCCGTCTCGCAAACCATTGAATCAACGGCAATGTTATGCATGAGATCGCAATCCACACAAGCAAAATACCAAAGTGCATTCCAACTAGAAAATCAGTTTATCAACTTCGGAAGAAAAAGAGGACAACAGATGCGACAAACCTTCGTTTTTAGTACCAAATATGATAGTTCTCATCGCGCGTGAGATGTTATAGAAAGGTGCTGCGTATCCGTAGTGGAATATCCGCGGTAGGACTTCTATGGGGTAAATGCAGACGGAAATGTTCGCTAGAGGTACCGGTTAAACCATGTCCCAGGGTAGATTGGAGGGAACGTACTGATGATCCATGTAATCATGAAAAAGGGTATAAATTTTACTGTCAGCAGCGTGACCAGCGATTCCAGAGCGAGGCCGCTGTCAGAGAGCGTTAGTGAAATTTGCGTTGGGATAAGAGGGAGAAGTGTACACAGAAAGCATCCCGACGTAGCTGAGCATCCAGAACAGAATGAATCCCGCGTGACCGAATCTATCAAAATAAATGAGCTCGAACGAAGGAGATTGAAGAGAAGTACTTACTTGCGAGACATGGGTAAGTGGAAAGCGGCGTTGAGAAGAGAGTAGAAAAGCTTGAAGTGGGGGTAAGAACAATAGAATATGAGAAGAGAGGCATACGAACTGATAGGAAAAAGTAGGCTCCAAAAGAGGATGCGAAGCGTAGGAGAATAAGATTCCGTAGTGAGAGGCTCTTGTTCAAGCCTGATATCTCGCGCGCGGTGAGCGTTATCATCTGCCACGACGTGATTAGCTTGCATGAGAAGAGCGTGAGGATATGGCGCACAACGACGAAGAATGACAGAATAAGTTGGTATAACAAGCCGACGAAGGTAGCAGCGGTAGCTCTGGGTTGAATAATCAGCAAGCGGAAAGAGGAGGATGAAGGTATGACGAACACTGGGACGTCGAAAGGGACGAGGTTGTTGAATGTGTAAGAAATTGGCGTTGTGATCGTTTGCGGAGACGTTGACATCAGGGTAGAAAGCGTCGACGCGTTGGCAACGCTTCGTGATATTTGCAAGGCAAACGAGGCGGAGATGACAGTCAAAGAAGATTCTACGGATGGCTGGATAATGTTTCGGCTAGGAAAACGTCTAAATCAAATGCATATGGAGAACATAAGCGACGTACAAAGCATTCTCGTTACGCGCCTCTACGGCGTATACTGTGACCGCTTCGGACCCATCGTAAGTGGAATTCGGTATAGTTAGTGCGGCGTTCAGTTTCGCGCTCGCTTCGGGATGAACTAGCAGGGGTCAGCCGATGACTCGAATTAGAAAACGGAAATACGAAACTGGCGACGGCAACCCAGGTGTGCTCCTCCCTTACCAGGATCGCTAGCTCATCCAAGCCACCAGCAACCTGAGAAGCTGGGATTACGCTCCAAGTGACTTTTGACGGGCCCACGTTAGAGCCCAGTGACCGAGCTACTTGGTGTCCCACCATCCCGCCGTCAAAATCCTGATAATAGTTAGTTGCAATTTCAAACCGGGAAATTTTAAACGAACTACGACCCATCCATGAAGATTATGAGCCGGTATCTTCCAAAGGGAACCCCAATAAATGGAGAACACTGAAAAGATCAAGACGACAATGAGAGACGTGGCGCCCAGAACAATCTTCAAGTAAATCGATCGCGCTGTAGATAGACTGGGACGAGGTGCTTCCTCAATAGACGTATCCATTATCGATGGTGACGCCGTGGTCGCTTGTTTTTCAGAGTCCAGGATCGACACGTTGCTTGATCTGAGGGGAGTAGACTGCTCCGAGGTTGATTTCATGGTCGACAGTAGAGATTGAAGAGTCTGAGGAGGTTTTGTGGAAGGTCATCGAGGTCAACGAGGCGAGTTTTATAATCCACATGTGCGCATATCAGGGGCGGGTGCGGAAAGCATTCCAACCGCAAGCGTCAGCTAATTTGTATGACAAAGACCATCGACCAATCACATCGCGAGAAAACCTCACTAAAACTTAAAAGCTAAACAGATCAAATCATTCCGGCTTGGTCCGCCGATCCCCGAGGGTTTAGTAAACAATTCGCTTGACTTGTTACCAATCTCTAAGCCACCTTTCCGCCTTAGCATAGAGACGTCAAGCGCTCGTCTTGAGTCTTTGCAGTTATAAATGAACGAAACAAATCCGTCGACAACTACTTTGAACCAGGCTTCCTTGGCAGGCTGCGATGTTCTACTTAGTCTTCAAGACCCCGAATTGTTCTCCTCTGACCTATCTTTCTGTCTCCTGTCAACACCTTTCGTCATGATACCCAGCTGGCTTCTTCAAGTGCATGGACTCCTAGCGCCATCTCGGACGAAGTTAGCGCGTGGCTATGTAAGTTTTATTGTCGAATATTTACATGCCCACAAAGCCAACACGTCCAATCAGTGACATCGCTCTACTCCAATCATGTCGACATCCTCTCTGAATCGAAGCCACGATCTCACCTATTCAACCACTCCAGGAAATGAGATCAGTTCAGAAGACTTGCAGAGCTGCTCTACTCTGTACAATGAAAACTACGGGGTCTGGGCACCTCACAGCAAAGCCTTGCGCAAATCTTCCGTTCCAGGTAAGCCTCTGTTAAATGATGCGCCAGCAATGACTGATGGAGGACGATCTTGTTTATCGCAGGTGGCAGAGTCAAACTCCCCCCGACGGGGCTCAAGCAAGAGCTTCTCAGCGATCCCGATCGTACGATATTGGTCACTTGCCATCTAGACGGACTCCTCATTGGACATGCATTCGCTACCTCCTGGGATTGTGGCCAAGGTATGGTCTAATTTTCAGAAAGAGAAAGAGTGTTTCAATTTGCGAAAAGATGTTGTTGGATGGGTCACCCAACTTGTCGTCCTTGAGAAACACCGCCGGAAGAAAATCGCAACCAATTTGCTACGCTGTCTCACCGAGAACAAATGGTACTCGGGGATCACGATTTTAGGTATTGCATCGTCACATCCGGTATCGTGTAAAGCTCTTGCGAATCTCGCTGGTCAGTAAAAGCTGATTAAAATTACTACCCTTCCTGTCTTAATGAAACGTCTCACAGGAATATCGTTGGGGGATATTGACACAAACTTCATAGCCCAAAACGCAACCAGAGTATTGGGTTCAAGTCCTGTCAGTTACTTGAAGACTTCCGAGCCTCGAGGGTCCTTGTTTCAAAATGAATCTGAATCTGATGTCGTCTCGTCCATTGCGACAAGATTTCCTATCAATCATGCCGAGCCTCTGGCTGTCCTCGAAAAGTTCGTGTCGGAGGGATGTTGGAGGCTGGGGAATTTGAAAGAGAACGATGAATTCTTGGTAATAGCGCCCGTTGCAGTAGATCCGCGTCTCTTACCGATAGATTGAATACCACCACTTGAATGAATATAGAGTTTTGTTACCTTTATGAAGAAACTTGGTTGACAAGATCAAAATGTGCTGAATACAGACTTCGCGAACTGAAGAGTTCTCGCATACACAATGCCAAATCAGCTTTTATCCAAGGAGGGAGGAAAAAGATGGATCAAGAGGCTTATCCAAGTTAATTCGGGTACGGGGAATCGAACCCCGAGCTGCCGCGCACAAGAAATAAATACATGAGAGGCGGCAATGTTAACCGTTACACCATACCCGACTTGTATTTTGACGGACAGACTTCCATATTCCTCAAAACTCGTCATGTCCACCGGCTCATGCACATGCCATGATATTTCCTCACGGACCCTACATAGTTCGTGGTTCGACCCTACTCGAGCGTGAGAACCTGACCGTTCTTCCTCCGACCAACCTGGAATCTCTCCTTTTGCAGGGTTTTTTGAGTTACAGCATGCATTGGCACTAAAAGAAGGTAAGCTCTCGGACTCTCTGTTGGCATAAAACCACGTGACCTCATACGTCACAATTATGACATGTGCTGTGTGTATTACGCAGCACTTACACATCATATGCTGTACATTGTTCTACAGCATTCCATATGATTCTATGTCAAATATGCATACATAGTAGCACGGACCATCTCTGTAGAGTATATAAGGACGTCTACTATGTCCTAATACATTAAGTCTTTTACTTCTAGCTAGTCTTGCTTAGCTTCGCCTCTACAATAACACCCAAGGTAAGGGCTATGGTAGTGTTAGCTACCTCTGCGCTGCGCATCCTAGATGCGATACATGCCTGTTAATAGGTTATGGGCCCCGATGTCGAACGACGTGCGCTACGGCTGCACGAGTTCTAACATGCCTTAGCCTTAACAACCTTTGGGCTTGATTGTGCGCCCTCTGGGCTGCACATCGCCTACAACAGTTCGCTTAATTGCTGAACGTTGTCAAGATTGTTCGCCTCACGGCTGAACGTCAACGCTGTTGCTGTCTGGACATTGACTCTAAAGGAGTCGGGTTCATGTCAAGCAGGATGCGCAGTGCGCCTTGTAGGCTGCACGCTCTTTATTAAACATCCATGCTGACAACACCCAAGTTTTTATCTTACAGATATTTTCTGACAATATGTCCACCAACAAATCCACTTCCCTCTCTGTCAACGACATCCCTCACTTCAATGGTCGTAACTTCCAGGGTTGGTCTGACAAAATGATCGGCATCTTTATGATTGCCAAGGTCTATGACGTCGTCAAAGGCGACCTTGTCAAACCCGCCAACTCTGAGAAACCACCTGCCATCAGACCACCTGCCATCATCACTGACGATACTGACGTCATTACCACCACGAAGCTCAACGCTCTGTGGACTCAGTTTCAGGTTCAAATGAACCAGTCTAACTATCTGCTTGGCATCTGGGAACGGAAGAATTCCGCCTGGACCGATGCGAATTCCCAAGCTATGGGAATTTTTAACCGAGCCCTAGATATCGGGATCTGGGATCAAGTCAAGGCGAAAAACGCCAAAGAGACTTGGGACTGGCTGAAAGAGAAGTACGCCAAGAGTTCCCATCTGGAGATCATGGAGCACTTTCGCTTCATGAAAAATCAGAACATTGATCTCTCCGATCCCAACCCTCAGCTCGCCAAATTTATGCATCACTACCAGGCACTTCCCCTCAACATGATCAGTTCCGCAATGGCCGCCATCATTCTCCTTTCCAACCTCCCGCTGTCCAACAATCCAAACGTTAGTAACGTTTATCAGAATCTCCTTGAATCTTCCTTCAAGGATGACATTGCCACCTCTCTCGTCCTTGAGGACGTTATGACTCAGATACGCGACGTCTGGCAAGCTCGCTTCCTCACTCTCGCATCTCACGATCAGCCCCGCAAGGGGACTACGTACGATAAAGGAAAAGCTCCGGCTAATCAGCCGTCGCAGCAGAAGCAGCAGAATCAGGTACAGCGGAATACCGCTATCAAGGGCAAAGGCCCTACGCCTCAATATTCTCAGCAGCAGAGCGCCGAATCCGGCAGCTCGCAGCAGAAGAAAAAGAGACCCTTCCGACGCGGAGGAAAAGGAAAGAGCGCAAACAACCACAATCATGTGGCTGGAGCCTCTGATACTTTCAACTCCGATTTCATCCTCGCATCATCGGCAATTCATATTGCCGATACACCAGCATTACCAGCCCCTACGGCCCACACCGTAGCTTCTTTCAGTGCTGCCGGTCCTTCGATCCGGCACGAAAGAACAACAGGGCCGTGGAAGAACCCTGGGAGGTTTACTCCTCCTTACCCCCATGTGCAGCGATCCCGCGATCTTATGAGTCGCCTTGGGGTAAAACCCACTATCCAAACTTCAAAAGAGTTTGAGGGAATCGCTTCCTTGGAGGAAGTAACCGACGGATCCTTTGGAGCCCCCACATATCAGTGGGGTGCATACAAACTTACGGATCCAATCAGGGCTCCCACGCCAGAAATGGCACCATTGCTGGAGAGAATGCAGGTAGACGAATTATCGCAGGAAGAAGGCGATACGGTATCCCTCGGAGACGAGGAGGAACCGATTCCTCAGGGATCGGATCTATTTGGAGATAACGAAGATGTTGGCGCCTCCATCCCTCAGGGGATGAAGCTGGATCTCGGTAGCGGCGAGTCTGACTACGGAGATGACGGTCCGGAGACCCTTTGTGGTCCGATTGAATCAGCTGGCGCAGCAGGACCGTCGAAGCATGTTTGGAACATGGGTATACCCCAGACCAAACGATGGTACGACGATGACGAGGCCTACGATGGTCCGACTGAGAATGAGTCAGTCCCCTTTTGTTCACATAAAGGCGATTCACTAACTGATCCCTCTACAGCTTCTATTAGTGTAGACATAGGTAGATCGTTAGATAAGTATCTAGCCTATGTGAATGAAAACCATTGCAAGTTCGTTCTGGATTGTTCAGACTGCAAGGGAAAGAACTCTAGGTCGAAACACATCGAGTGGGTTGTTGATTCAGGAGCCTCTGTCCACTTCTCAGAAGACGAGTCTGATTTCTCGGAGTTAAACCTCTTTTCCGAGAAAGAAAGACCATTCGCACAAACTGCGAATGGTGCCGCTGCCATACACGGCACAGGCACAGTCTTTGTCAAAACGTGGATAGACAACCCTAAGTCCCCAGAAAAAAAGTCGACCACTATATCCCGCCTACATCCGGTATTCTATATGCCAGGAATAGGGATCCGTCTTCTATCTATGGGATTGCTTCTGAAAGGCAACATGCACGTCAAGGGAGATGAGCGAACCCTTCGATTCATTGATGCTCAATCTGGAAAGGTGAAAATAGTAGCCGTTACCAGAATCTTCACCGATACGATCTACTGGATCAATTCGGAGATCCTCACTGGAAGTGAGTTGATCGCGCACAAGTCCATGCATCTAGATGATTTCGATCTCTGGCATCGACGACTTGGACATCCTGGTCAACAGGTGTTTGAGAAATTCGAATCGAGTACACGGAATTTTCCGAAATCGATTGAGATCCCTAAAAATCCGCCGGTGTGTGAAGGCTGTGCAAAAGGAAAGATGCACTCCCGCTCTTTTCCCGATAATTCTGCACGCGCCACACGTCCCTTTCAACGGATTCATTCTGATCTCAAGGAGTTTGCGGTGAAGTCTTACCATCACCACAAGTATTACATATCGTTCCTCGATGATAACTCCTCTCACTCCTGGATCACACTTTTGAAAAAGAAAAGTGATTCCAAAGTGGCAACCCAGCAGTTTATCGCTATGGTTAAAAACCAGTACAAAGCGATCATCAGCGAATGGATGTCCGATAACGGAGGAGAGTACGTTGATCAGAACTATGTCAAACTCCTTAAGGATGAAGGGATCATGATCCAACGGAGTGTTCCGGCTCAGCCGCAAATGAATGGCAGAGCTGAGCGCTTCAATCGTACTATCGATGAGAAAGCGGAGTCAATGCGCCATCAGGCTTGTCTATCTGACAATTGGTGGGAGTTCTGCGTATTACATGCGAACTACCTGTACAACCGCACCCCAATGCGGCGCCTTGATTGGAAAACTCCGAAGGGCTATCTTGAAAAAGAAGACCCTGATATCTCACACCTACGTATCCTTGGATGTGGTGCTTACGTCTTCATTCACAAAGATCTCCGAGCCAACAAGTTAAGTCCCAAATCAGAAATGATGACTTTTCTTGGCTATCGTGATGGTCGTGAATCGAATTTGATGTTCATGCGACCACCAAACAACGTCATCTTTACTGCTGCCACGGCACTGTTTGATGAACGTTTGTTTCCAAGATGTGCAAAAAAGAGTAAAGTGCCACCTGTCACACAAATTCAGGAACCCGGAGAACCCGAGATCGTGATTGAGACAGAAAGCGTGCCTGACGGTAATTCCGGTGCACCTTTCGCTCCACCCCATGATATATTCATTCCGCCAAGAGACAACGAGAGCACTCATGACGATGTTGAGCCTCATAGTCCTCCTGGATCGCCGCCACCGCAACCTCGAAATGCTCCAGGGGGAGCACAGCGTGGTAATGAGCCGCCTCGCCGCTCTGAGCGAGAAAGGAAAGGAACCAGAAAGGACGGGAACGTATACCCGCCTGGCACCTCTACAGACACCGACAGACGTCGTAAATTGCCTGACGCAAACAGCGCAACGTCCGTTCCTAATTCAGGACAGTCTAGCAAGCCTGCTGTAGGTGACCCTGGTCATGCTAAATTAGCAACGGAAGGGGGAGCATTGTGGGAATATTTGCTTTCCAAGGCAATTCCTCACGGTGAATTACCAGATCCGATGAATGTCCGTGCCTGGACTTCGAAGGACATCGGCAAATTACCAGCCGAAGATCAAAGGGAATGGCAGAACGCTCAGTTTGAGGAGCTGGAGGCCCTCAAGAAACGCAAAGTTTACGAGCTTGCTGACCTACCTCCTGGCCGAAAGGCTATCAAAAATCGCTGGGTATTCGATTTAAAGTCCGATGGACGAAAAAAGGCCCGCTTAGTCGCTAAAGGCTGCTCACAAGTTGAGGGTCTAGACTTCGACGAGATTTTCTCACCGGTTGTTCGGTTTGAGTCGGTCCGCACCATTCTCGCATTAGCAGCCCTAGAGAAATGGAAAGTCGAAGGCCTTGATGTTAAGTCCGCTTTTCTCTATGGAGAGCTGGACGAAGAACTCTATATGGAGCAACCACAAGGGTTCAAAATTCCTGGGAAGGAACACAAGGTGCTTCGATTGCTGAAGGCTATCTATGGTCTAAAGCAAGCCGCACGTGCTTGGTGGCATGAACTAGATAAGAGCCTAAAAGAGCTCGGCTTTACTCGCCTATATGCCGATGCTGGCATTTTCGTCGCAAAACATGCTGACGGAACCATGGTCATCATACTCGCGTATGTGGATGACATTATTGTCACCGGACCAAACACTACCCTAGTCGCGTCCAAGAAGAAACTCTTTATGGACAAATGGGAATGCCGTGACTTAGGAGAATGCAAGGAGTTCCTACGTATGAGGATAGATTATCGAGATGGGAAGACCTACCTTGATCAGGTTCCCTACCTTGAGAAAATTCTCAAGCGCTTTGGTATGGCCGATGCCAAGGCTGCACAAACTCCGCTTCCCACCGGCTATAAACCTGAACCGTTTGATGGAACTGCTACGGCAGCTCTCCGGTCTCAGTACCAATCGGTGATCGGATCCTTGCTATATTTAATGCTCGGAACACGTCCCGACCTAGCCTTTGCTGTTACGCAAATGGCAAAGTTCGCTCAAAATCCATCTGAGGAACACCTCAATCAAACCAGGCATATCATGCGTTACCTTGTCGGTACGCGCAAATACGCCTTGGTCTATGATGGAAGGAGTGATGGAGGGCTATACGCCTATTGTGACTCATCATATGGAGATGACAGATCAGATGCAGATCGCAGACGTCGATCAACGCAGGGATATCATTTCACCCTAGCGAATGCATGCGTCAAGTGGCACTCTAAGACACAGACGCTGATCTCCACGTCCTCCACCATGGCAGAGTACATAGCACTCTCTGACTGTGCACGTGATTGTGCATGGTACAAGATTCTATTCTCCGAACTCGGAAAGCCCATGCCTTACGTCCCTATCTATGGTGACAGTCATGGAGCGATCTTCAATGCTCAGAATCCCGTAACACAAAAAGGGATTAAGCATATCGAGATCCGCTATCATTATATCCGAGAACAGATCGAGAAAGGTGCCGTAAAAGTATTTGCCGTTCCCACATCAGAGAACGTTGCAGATATGTTCACCAAGAATCTGGGACCAACGCTCTTCTTGAAACATAGAAAGGAGCTTGGTATAGAGTTTTATTCTCTATAGTCCCGTACCCACAGACAAGTAAGTGCGCTAGCGCTGCACTACTTGAGGGGGAGTGTTGGCATAAAACCACGTGACCTCATACGTCACAATTATGACATGTGCTGTGTGTATTACGCAGCACTTACACATCATATGCTGTACATTGTTCTACAGCATTCCATATGATTCTATGTCAAATATGCATACATAGTAGCACGGACCATCTCTGTAGAGTATATAAGGACGTCTACTATGTCCTAATACATTAAGTCTTTTACTTCTAGCTAGTCTTGCTTAGCTTCGCCTCTACAATAACACCCAAGGTAAGGGCTATGGTAGTGTTAGCTACCTCTGCGCTGCGCATCCTAGATGCGATACATGCCTGTTAATACTCTCTACCTTGCAGGTCTAGTTCGTTCATTGCTCACGGTAATGGCTTCAAGTACCGGAAACGTTGCTTGCAAGCCACAGTCGATTCTCAAACGAAGATTCGTGAGCATACATTGTGGCGACAATTCCATTCGACCGGGAGACATACAGAGACCACGAGCTGACGGGTGTTTCGAGTTCCTCGATGCTTCGTCACAATGATGGGTCGCAACGGTCAAGGCCGCGTAAAACTGCATCACCTCGAAGCGCGACATTGCGAAATCATCTATCTCACCCCCACAAGTCCCTGTTAGGCTTTCCCGGCTACGGACCGGATGTATCTTCTTCTTCATGAGTTGTACGATGCACCCAAAGACGTTGTTGACATAAATTCGGAACGACTTCTTGGACCTCAGCTTTCTCAAGGTCCACGTCTCACGTTTTGTGGCATGTTCGCTGTACGTATTATACTTTTGCTTTGCTTCAACCCTGTCCAAGTTACCCACCCCAACATTTTGTCACGTCGTGAATGCAAACAATCAAGTTGCATTTTAACATAAATTGGACCGTTCTAGGAGCAAGCCCCAGGTGAGTTCAATGTCTCGAAAATCATGACCAACCTTTTGCATTGATTTTTTTCGGGTCGTGTTCAAATGCCGATATATCTGCTTTGTATTGGCCGTGAAGTCGTCCAGTGAGTTCCTATTCTAGACCCGTGGTAAGTCAGTGATCGACTGTTTACACAGTTAGCTCTCTGGAAATCCCAGTATATTTCCCGCACGCTCAGGTTCTGTTACCTCCTCCTTTTTTAATGACAAAAGGGCAGTTACTTCGTACTCACGGTATGGAGCGACACGCGGCGATTCTTACCCAACACCGTGAGCATCTTCTAAACCTTCTTTTTCTTCAGATTTCTAATGTGAGGCAGCCTTAACGTTCCCGAATCCGTCTCAACCAAGTCTCAACTTCATCAGGAAAATCAAGGAATAGAAATCCGTGTTTCACCATTCACGAATTTGTGAACTTCATTTTGGATTCTAGTTTGGGTTTTGACAAATTTCCTGTTCATTTTCTCAGATCGATGATTGGCTGATCAAGGGTCAACAGGTCTCCACTCTCATCCTTGATCATCATCGATGACTGCGGACAGGTGCGGACCCGACCAAGCTAAAATGAGGTGCTGGGGTGACGCTTCTCCAATTCTACATGCTCAAGTCCTGCTATTCGTGAACGACTGTGGAAGTGTTTATGACGTCATCTCGAAATTTCCGTCGGAAGGCAGTTGAATTTGAGAAGGATTATACCAGACAAAGATGAGCTATAAACGCAAGGAGATATCTATATATGTGCACACTCACATTTACAGTCTTGGCATCAATAAAGTTGGATGTTACAGACTTTGATCCTCCGAGGTAAGTTGTGATTTGGAGCTTTATCTGAACGTTGAGCTTCAGTAGTACAATTCAGGCCTTTGAACCCCGCACTTCATTAGTGTTATCGTCCCTTCCAAACCTTAATTGCTCCAAACCTCTCAAAGTTGCATTACCGCAACGGACAGATGTTATAAAGTGGAGGTATCCCCATCACCAACCCATCACTCAATGTTCCCTCGCTCGTCAAAACCCAGACCAATGAACATTCATCGCACGGTCGTCATATTTGCCTTGGCAGCTACCCAACTTGCTAATTGCGTCCCCGTAAAACCCTCTCTCCCTCTTCCGTCCGGAGTCCCTTTCGTTATAGATGCCGATTATTACTATGGTCCCAACCGACCCAACCCCCGCAGGAGGTTCCTGCGCCGAACTTTTCCAGAGGACCCCTGAAATATTTACCTTCTTCACCTCATCGTGACGCCCCACACATATTGGTACATATGAATCGAATATTTTCCTTATTGAGGTGTTTTCTTACCCCTTTGGTTGTAGCCTGCTTTAGTGTCTCCTGCTGCGACACATGTAGTTTCCTTTCCTGAATCTTTTCCAAGTTCCGTTGAGCATCAGATCCCCTTGATTGCGATCAATCGTCAATCCTGAGCACTCGGCCGCTCTACCCCGATACCCGGAGAGTGTAGGCTAAAATTTTAAATGTTGATAAACGGTGTCGGTGCTTTTTTTATTGGCAAAGAGCTCTACAGAATAGTGAATTTACACCTTTCGACATATGGCATCTCAGAAGCATCCAAAATTGGGACTCTAAGCTCGTTCGGGCAGAGCGTGACAAGTCGAAGGTTCGCGTCTTGAGGTGTATGGCACGTTGATGGCACGGGGCATCGAGAATCCGTTTGCAAACCGCTGACGCTCGAACGCTCAAATAAAAGAGGAGTTATAGGGCCAGCAAGTGATAAATATCAAAACACTTCAGCATACCCAATGCCTGGATGATCTTTTGCCCAGGCAAGCCTCTCTTCAACCCACGATTCCATGAATTCCGAAGCCAACTTGAAGCTGCCAACATTGTAACACAACCGATCGCTTAGCTGCCTGAAAGGCTTCCCAAGCTCATATAGCACATTCCATTGCCCACTCCCGACCTTATCCATAAAAGTCGTGCGTAAGGGTTGTCTTGTCGCCTCGTCGCCTCCTTCATAGGTCGCCTCTGGATCGGCAGGATGCTGTAACCACCGTGGAAGAAGCGCGCATTCCCACAAAGGCGCGATTGTGGTTCGTTCAAAGTCAATCAATCCGGTTACGTGACCAGTGGTTTCGTTGATCTATTTTCATGATCAAGAGTAAACGCCAAAGGGAGAGACGTGGACATACCATGATGTTAGAGAGTCGAAAATCGTCAAGTCGCAACGAAAACGGCTTTGGGGGTGAAATTTTCGGGTCATCTAGTTGAATGTCTCCTGGATAGACAGCACACAAATTGAGAGTCTTCCGCAAAATACGTTGTCCATCTTCAAGGTGGTGTATAGCTAACTCTTCGTTCTCCTCATTAAATTCTTGTAGTGCAATAGAGCGGTGCTGAGAGATAAATTGCAGCTCCGCGTGGACGGAGCTCTGGAGATACTGTGGTAGTTGAGAAGGGGCCACGGTATGTAGCGTCGGGTGAAAAGCCCGGGGGCAAGCGCCGGACACCGTCAAGGGCGCGGTAAAATGGCCCACTAACGATAGGACCAACGACAATTTCCTCCGAGGAAATATAGAGGGAGCCCGCGGTTTCGAAACGAAGGGCAAACATGGCCATGAGATGTTCGGCGACTTCAAAAACTACGCGTTCCTTCACTTTTATCGGAAGGTTGTCCCATACGTTGCTAGCAGAAATTCCTGGAAGCTTTGAGGTAAAAAATGTTAATAATGAGATTGTCTCCACCTCTAGAACTCACCTTTTCCATGATCATGTATTCCACACCGACTGGATTAGCTGCGTCCGAATCCCATGCGAAAACTCTGGGAACCGGGATGTTCGTGTGCGTAGCCAAGTATTTGAGGGTTGCGACCTGAAGTTCACAATATTGGAAAAACACAAACGCAAACTATATAGACACGGCAAACCTCTGACTCCAACTTATCTCTTGGGAATGCAGGAGCCGCAACGTGGACGATTCCAACAGAGGTTCCGTCGTCCTTGGAAATATTGTAGACCTGAGAGATTTGAATGCTTGTGGCAACAAAGAGTAAGGAAGGCTGCATACCTTGTGGTAGCCTCCTTGTGCTAATTTCTCGATGGTGCATTTTGCGTTGAAGTGGGAGTTGACAACGCCTCTCAGCTCGGTGAGGCTGAATGTGTCAGCAACTCCTTCGCCGTCATATGAAAAGGTTGATGATGTGACGTCGGAGGTGGCTGTCATTTATCGAATGTTGTCGAAGGTGATGTGTGATTGACCCAAAGAGACCGTGGGACTCGACTCCTAATTGAAGCCAAACTTCCGGACCCAAGCACCCCTATTTGATGCATGTCCTTATTCCTAAAAAAAAATCTGTTCACATATAACAAGTAATTTCGTAGCGTCAGAACTTAGGGGACCCGTCCTCCAATCATACCTCAAGCACTCCCCTCCGCGCAAAGAGGTAAGCATTGAAAATAACTCCGTAAATCCATCAACCATCCCCCTCTACTCCGCAAATTAGGACTCCGAGTTTTTCAACTAAAGAAACAGAGGCATCACCTGTACGGTTTTGGAAGGATCATTCGGACGAATGTGTCCATGTCACCACAACATTCTCAGATAGCCGGGGAAGGTACTTCCCTGAAAGCTCATTTGGCACGGATGATGACAAAGGAATGGGAGTTTTGAAGAGAACGTGGCGTAGCACTGGAAATTCATTTGCAAGTATAGAGTCGAGCCTTGCCCATTCATCGCCAGTCATCCACCAACCACTAACTGGCAATCGGGCATCCAAGGTGAAGGTCTCAATCACATTGGAACCTGATAAAATTTCCAGTTCTTCGCACAGTCCGCAGAAAGGATCTTCGACTCTATAGATGAACTCGAATCGAAAGGACAAGTTCTTCAATGTTGTTAATCGGGGTCCACTTATTGATTCGGCGAATCCTGTGAATCCGTTGGTCACTCTACCCACTGACATGATGGGTGAGGCTCAGTAAAAAGCAAAGGCAAGCAAAATAGCACAAAGTCAGAGGTCAGTCAAGTGTACGTCACACATCTGTAATTTTTACGCCACCCTTCCCTCAAACTTCCCTTGGCAACAAATGGGAGATGAGTTTAGTCATAGGTTAGTATCAACTTCGTCATACTTTTTCTACACATGGCTATGCCAAGAATTTTTGTCTAGCTGAGGCCTCTGAGGCTGCAGGCTGTGGTGCATTGGACTTAGAAACGTTGCGAGTTGAAAGTCACATGATTGCTTCGTTGAAAAGTTATTTTGACGTTTGAACCTGTTTGAACTTGACCTTGTCACTTCGACGACCAGCCCCGCACGCTCTTCCTCAACTGCTCAATTGACGACTCTGGCCGCTGGCGAACCAGCTACACCCACGGACCTCCTCGTCGACGGATTCCACTCCTTTGCAGATGTATGCAACGCACAAAACGAGCACACGAGGATACCACCATCGCGAATGACTCCCCTATGAAACGAAGGTCATTAGCCCCCAACATGCCGTCACTGCCTCCGACTTCCATCCATTACACGAAAATGCGACGGCGATCCAACGAAGTGTTACATTGGAACCAGGCTTACCGACGACACAGTCGACGCTCTTTGGCTGGACGGCCCACCATCACCACCACCAAAACATGGCGAGCGCAGAGGTAATCCTCGTCAACAACCGCATTCTCAACGCCCCCTGCTCAAATCCAGGTGGCGCACTCATCGACTCCCTCTCTTCGCTCCCCATTTCCCGTGCAGATGGGATGGCGACGACTCGGTCTCGGATGCGGAGGATTTGACGGATATTGGATGTGGTAATGGACCGCTCAACGACGAGCTCGACGGTGTTGTTGGAGCACTTGAATGGACTCGACATGCTGCAGAGGGCCTTTTATTCCGACATGATCCTGAGACCCTCTTCTTATTCTAGTGCCGAAAACCCAAGTATTCCTCTCCCCCCTACTATACTTAGTTTCATGCCTACTACATGTATCCTCTGAAATACTTTAAGTAGCCAAATATAATTTGATTCAGCCTATTTGCTATCCTGAATTGGGCCCAAGCAGCAATGACTGGGATGTGACTATTGTATGACTAGTACATGACTGAGTGTAAGACTAATATATGACTATTGTAGTACGAGCGTAGTCAGAAACACTTAAAAAAAACGACATTTAGTCAGACAGCCTCTAATTGGTGACTTTCTCGTGACTAACGTCTGACTTCGCTATTTACTGAGGGTGAGGCACGACATCACTTTTTCCATCAAGGTGGTGGTGCGTACCAGTGTACTCCAAAGTCTCAAGCTTTTCTGTTGCCTTGATAAACGCATGTGCTACTGTCACATCGAAGGCTGACCCGATGTTTACAGTCAATTTCTGAATGTTACTGAAATCCAGCACTGGGACGTCATTGGGACGCCTAACCTGTAGAAGTCGCATCGAGTAGTGACTACTATGGAAACACAAAGCGAAAGATCGAAGCTGTGGGATGCTTCTCATGGAAGCGGAAGCATCCTCGTCGTAACTTTCCACAGCAAAGCTTTCGATGCGAGTTAACGATAGGTCGACTAGGTTGAGACAATGAGAGAGTGCGATCATTGGGAAGTTGAAAAAATAGAGTATCTCTAGACGTTGCACGGACCAGATGAAACGCCATAATGCGCTTTGAAAAGGTGGGGGTATGGTGTTCCAATAATCAACCATCCCTCCTGACAGTCGAAAACACCGCAGCCGATGAAGCCTCCCCAGCACCCACAGAACATCAGTGTCGGCAATGTCACAGCGGGATATGGTGTAGCTCAGATTCTGAACGTATTCTGAAAGCCCCGGGTTATTATCTAGAAGACGCGCAAATGACTGGATGGTGCCAACGGGTGGTCCAGAGTGGCGCCCAACAGCAGAATGACGATTAAGGTCGATAGATCGAAAGATATATTTGCGGCATAGTGGGAGAAGCGATGAGCAGATCTGCGAGCATGCCTGTAATGCGGGTATATCACCCTGAAGAGCAGTGATTATCTCCTCAATAATCTCCAAGGGCAGGCCAGAGTAGGAGGCCATAGGCTATTGTGGTGGGAGTGATAAGCGTCCGCATGCAAAGTAGAACTCATTACCACGTGACACTTGCGCACGGTCCACTGTCAGATTTGCGACCCTGCAGTTTCTTCTGCCCAACTCCAAACCCAGGAGGATATGTATCACTTTCCATATCTAGATTTTGTTCAAGCATACATCACAGGCACTGCGCATATCCACGTGTGCTTCCCCTTCACCCTCGAAACGCTGTAAGTCATGCCATCTCCTCACCTCGGACTCCAGGCTCGGAGGTTGAAAACGCGCTCGGGGGGTATGTTAGATGGTAGTTGGTGCTGTAAGAGTTACTGGGGAGCTGGGGAAGGAAATATGCGTGTTGCAAAGGCTTAAGCTCGGTGAGAAAGGTAACCTTTCGTTGGCTTTCACCGTCTTTCCAGGTCTTTCCTCCACTCTGTTCCCTCCCCATCGCTAACTTCGTCCCTCAGGGGAAATGTAAGACAATTGCATGCTTGGCCATGTACCATTGTACGTACACACAAGCGGCTACCCGCCTATCGAGTCTCTCCGCTCGGTAGCTTATTACTTCGACCCTTCAAAGGGCCTGCCCTCCGATCCTCTCAGATGTCTCATCTTCTCCAACTCAGATTGTGTTCAGCGAATGGGCAAGGGCTGTTTGGCTACACAGCCTGGTTCTGATCCCTCCGACACGACCAGGCTTGGTTGTACGCTTTGGATGCATATTTGAGTTGTCGTAGCGTATCTAACGTGTTGACGCCCCGACCCCTATCTAAGCCACCCAATGAAAGATGCAGAGGCCATCCAAATGTTGTTGAAAATGACAGATCACAACGTCGGAGACTCGGAGTAAAGGACGTCAGAGGTCGACGCTAAAATCTAGGTAAGTATCGTTCCTCGACCTGCGAGGTTACGATATGTTGTACTGATTGACGTTTCCGAGGTCGACCGAGCTCGTTCCGCCGTATCACCCCCATCTCGTTTCTCCCGAAATACATGACGTCTGCCGTTCAATGAGACACTTACCGCAGCGGCCTTCGCTTTCTCCTAGGATCATCAGGAAAAACCCCAAATGCAAATTTCAGGTAATTATCTTGCAGTTACTTCTAATCTCCATAACTGGGAGATAATACACCTAACTACCAACTAATTCAAGGTAATCGTGATAAAATTTGCAAACTACTCATAATTTGTTGTGCATTACCAAGATTCCCCCCTCAGTCCGTCGTAATTTCAGATAAAATGACTAGCTGTAGCATTCTTAGAGGTCATGCCATATAACTTCGTAAATTTTTATTGTGGTTACACAGAGGGGACCACTATTAGAAAAAATTACTACAAAGGAATCCGTCTGAGACTCGAGAGAGGATTACAGGTATAAAGTATGGATGATTTAAGTATACAACAAACACTTTCGCAAAAATGGCCTCATCGGAGATTGGTCGTACTTCCCATGCGAAGAAACCTGCGAGAAATGATGGTCTTGCATGGTTCCGCCACTGCCGCTGTTGGACTCAGATGTACCGCCATACCCGTGCCACGGTACCCTTGTGTTGCCTTCGTCCAAAAAGATAGGGGGCGGGTTGGTAAGCAGCTTCGGCAATTTCGCGGTCGAGTTCTTGTGTGCCACAACGTCGGATGGCATTGGTGAAGAGGGCGATGAGTGTGACGATGCCAACGGCGGAGAACGTGCTTGCGGCGGCGGCTGTGTTGTGAACAGGTCAGGACCAAAGCAGGGTTAGTGAAGATGACAAAGAGGCCGTCAGGACGATGACAAGTCTTGACAAGTGGGACTGTTACGATCATAGCTCCTGATCCTCGGAACATGGTAATCCGCAAAAAAACGCGAAAAGAAAGGATCAAAAGTATGTAGAAAAGATGGTATGGGGAGGGAACAGGATGATATGCTGCTCACCCAGCATTAGTTGACGCAGCGCTCAAGCTCGTCGGAGTACCACTAGCAGCCAACGCCGTAAGGAACGAGGTAAGCGTAGCTACACCCCACTGGTCTGTCGTAACCCTCGTATTCGTCGGGGGTAGGCTTGTTTACTACCGATGTTTGCTCGGATCCTAAATGAAGGTCTGCGAGCGAGAAAGGAGGGCATGTGAAGAGGTGATGGAAGAAGCGTTGTCAATGTTCAAGCGTTTGGGCAGCGTACGTTGAGCAGGGCGCAGCATGGCGTGTTGCGTTGAGAACGAAATTATTCCCAAGTCCGTTAAAACTCCGACGGCACATGATCATGTTGGATTCTATTCCCTCCCACTGCTCTTTCTTCCCACCACATCGTCTGCGTGCTTTTGTCACCCCTCATTCTCATTCGTCGTACTCCCACTCAAATTCTCATTGTGTTACCGGCTTTTCTCTGCCAACTCATGCTTGCGACCTGGCCTACAAATTCCAACAGTGAGCAACTGCCTTTCATTACTAACCTCTCAACCACTCACCTATGGCACACAGGTCTGTGTGATGTTCCTGCCCTACGCAACCTGTATGCCAACTCCAACAGGTAAGTACCCTTTCCGACGACGACAACAATGAAGTAACGAACGACGACAGGCAACGATGAATGGATGACGAGGCAACAACGACGTGGACGATCCTGATCGACGACGACCACACGACGATGACCGCTCAATGACGACAGGCAACGACTGCGTGATGACCGCCCCACGACAACAGCACGACGACCGCATGCAACCATGACCACACGCAGCAATGCGTGGCGACACGACCGTTGGCCAGGATTCACCACCACCCCCCATCAACGCCAAGGATGGTCCAGCACCCTGTCCCAACGCCGACGAAGCTCACCACATAAACAGTAAACACAGCCCTGCCACCAGCACCCACAACAGCCCACCACCCCACACTGTCAGGAGCCCACCACCACCGCTCACAAATGCCGATGACAGCCGGACACCGCACCGAACACAGTCTCCCCACCCACAATGACAACGGCCCAACAACACCCCCCCCTCCTCCTCCCCCAACCCGCGAACGTCGACACAGATACCTTCTACCCAACACAATCCCCTTCTATCTCACTGTAGCTATCAATTACCATCATGTAGATATTTTTGTACCGTAGCCTTTCTTCAATCAATTCAATTTTACTGTTTGGCTCATTGTGTCAATCTTGAAAGAATTCTTAGCACCCAAAAGATTGAGAAAATGGTACTCTAATCGGACTAATTACCATATAACCGCAATGTAACTTCACACCAGATGCAGATAATCTCTACTCAGCCATTGGTAACTTCAAGGTAATTCGAGGTAAGAGTTAGGAACCGTATTCATATGGGGTAATTTGAGATAATTTGGTAAGAGCATTAATCTCATCTAATCCATCGAAATTTGAAGTTATTTCACCTAATCTTTCAGTTATTAGGGCAAATGAGGAGTTGGGGTTTTTCCTGATGATGTCGGTAGGGCGTTTGATATAACCATTCCTTTCCAGGTGGCTGATGGTAAGTAAGTGCAACGATTCACCCCATTCTATAAAAGGCACTTATCATAATTGTGCGTCAGATATCAAAAGCCTGTACAACGCGAAACCCGGGATCGACGCACAGTCTAAGCTGCATCTATCGCCTGACCAGCGATTAATTGATCCCTCATTCGAAATCAGATTAAAACCATCATAAAAGCCTTCAGAATACAAGCCCTCAAGGCTCTCACCGCAATTATTGACCAAACCTCCGCCCTCTGGTGCGAGTGCTTGGAGAGCTGATCATTAATCGACACACAGAATGTCGGGTTTTCGTGAAGGTGCTGCAGGGAAGTCATGGGTGCTGGTCTTATGGGCGGAACTATTCCTTGGGTTTGCGGAAAATGATTCATGTGATGTGCCAGAGCGCCAGCGGGGGGATTATAAGAAGTGCTGTGGGTTGCCTAGGGGCAATTATGGGTACTGTAAGTGACGCAGTGGAATGGGGACGGATTGTTCTGAATGGAAATTTAGTTATGCTTTTTCCGTCGTTGCGCGCATTGATGTCAGTACCAGTTTGGATTTCAGAATATTCGTTCGCAGCCGTAGTGGCTTTTGTCTTTTTGCAGTGGAGACCAAAGACCAATCCGAAGACTCACTCTGGCCCGAATAAGGACAGCTACCCAATGAATGCCTAATCAAGTCCTCTCTACGTACGGGTACGATACGAACAATATTAATACAGTCTTGAGTCCAAAAGTAGAACAAAATTACATGTCCGCTGAATGATTGGATGATGATGTATGTGTGAGGAGTCGGGGCGTAGGAGTCCGTAAAGCGTGAGTGAGCCGTGAAAGTAAATCGTTCCCAAACATGAAACCATGCGCCAACATCTACAGTATTTATGCGTCACCACGAGTCCCAGCTGACAAGATGACACTACTCACCATCCACTCAACGGCGTCTAAACCGACCTCTTACCGCGCTTAGCCGATCCAAGTCGATCCCTTACCTTCAACTCCGCAGTATCAGCTTGGCGAGCGAACTTCTGACGGGGAGATTGAGGAAGAGCAGCGCGACGGCTGACCGTTGTACAGACGGCTTTCGAAGGGCAGTGTCCAGAGTCGTGATCAGAGCTCAACACTCCCGTGGTCTGATCAGAATTTGCTTGTGGGTGATGATATACATTATTTCGTAGGGTATACGGCGAACCTTGACGTATAAACAGTAACCCTCTCCATATTGGCAGTAGATGGGATTGCTGGATTCAACATGAGTAGCGAGAGCGTGGTTAGCGGTATCCTTAGTTGGGCATTTGTTTACACAGGGAACAGGGGACGGTGATGGACTAAGAGATGCCGACGCAGATGTGAGCAACGCACTGAAGAGGATCGTGAACAAAGTGAGGAGGTAGCGCATGATTGGGGAAGGTGGAGAGAACGAGTTGGACTGAAGGAGTGAAGGGGAGGACAATGATAAGTGAGCGCAGGGATCGTTTATATAGGAGACTGCGGCCATTGATTAGATACACAACATTCCAGATCTTCAGACGATCTTCAGTTCTGCCCAATGACTGTCTGGGCTGTGTGAGCGCTCTCCCAAAACGTGCATCGTGCGGCAACATGTGTCAGGGGTCGACATTTTGAGGGTGGAGAGGTTATCGATTATCAACCGTTTCAGTCAGCTGTACTCACTGAGGTTGGTGTCAGTCGGGGAGGGCTGGAAGACAGCGAAAGGATATCATTAGAGAGGGAGAAACAGGGCGCTTACTGAAACCAAGTCTTGAGCTTGAATTCCGGGCTTTGCACATGTATGCATCATGTTGTCATCCTGTCAACCGCAGGCATCCTATTGCAGCTCGATAGCTGCTAACATCATAACATGGGCCAACAGGTGACTTCAGGAGAACCTAGATAACCACTTTGAGGAAAGTAGTAAAGTGCCAAGAGGTTTCGGGCGCGGGGCCAACGGACTTCGAGTCAACGGAGAATCACGGGTGTGCAGTGCGACCTGACCGAGGAGGAGGAGGATAGAAGACAACCTTTTTTTGAACTCAAATGAAAGCAATATTTCCGTCTGTCAAGGTGGGCAGAGAAAATTCCAATAAAAGAGGACCCATTTCAGCTGTCCGAAATATGTTGTGACTCAACTTGGACTCAACTTCCGTGAATGATAGCGATTGGCAGGTATGTGAGCGCCCTTAAATGGTATCCACACAATGCTTAGGGAAATCGAAGACGTCTTGACAAATTTCAGAGGGAAGCCAGAGAGAACGACTCTGGGGTTTGCTTGGGGTACGAGTTAGGTGCGAGTGTTTGAATTTACGGTCCTGATCACGTCATCACGATGTTGATGCCACCCCACACTGCCAAACATCGAGCACCTACTTGACTGCGACGACGACGACGATCATGATGCCCTATTTCTAAACGGTCATGGTGTTACCGAGCAAGCTGTTGCGCGTTACTACGCTACAGTCTTCGCACACTTACACAACATAACAGGCATACTAATGCTGGCACAACACGGATACTTCAAAGTCGCTGTCCGCAGGGGAAAGGACGGAAAAATACAGAGTGGGCCATGATTAATGCATGATTCTTTGTTAGCGCGACTTCTGTAGTATGTGTACTTGTAAGCAACACCCAAGGCATCATGCATCAGCATTCAAGTAATGTTTATGGGGGTCTTACATTTGTTGTTCTCGATAGCACTGGCACTCCTTGCTGCTGCGCAGGCGCTGCATGCCTCAGACTGATAGTGAACCCATTTGCTGTGCGTAATGTTCTTTACAACACCCGACTTCGTCCGCGCAGACCCTGAACCACTGCAAGTCGTGGAGCACTTGGGGCAGTAGCCAAGGGTGGCCACTCGCTTGGTCGACTTCCCGCATTTACAGTGGTGTTTGCTCAGACTCGGATAAGGAGGCATGAGCGGCTATAAGTTGGGTATGGAGTGACTGGAAATGTAGAGTGTACTGCGCCCTTTATGTAAATTACGCAGGCAGGCCTGAATCCACTGGACCCTGATGAACACCACCAATGTCGTCTAGTCAGCGAAATGGCTCTTATGATTATCTCGCATTGATGGGTATTTTTGGATGCGTACGTTGTACAGCCTTTACAAGATGACCTCATTTGCAGTAGTCAGATGAGGAGGTCTACGACAGAAGCTCAAACGCTCGCGAAGTCATCGGACCAGCAAGTGAGAAAGAAAGATCAAGGCAGCTCGGTATACCCAATGCCTGGATGATCTTTTGCCCAGGTAAGCCTCTCTTCAAACCATGATTCCATGTCTTCCGAAGCCCAGACGCCAACCCTGAAGCACAACCGATCGCTTAGCTGCCTGAAAGGCTTCCCGAGCTCATATAGCACATTCCATTCCCCGACCTTATCCATAAACACTGCACGTAAGGCTTGTTTTGTCACCTCGTCGCCTCCTTCATAGGTCCCCTCTGAATCGTCATAACGCTGTAACCACCGTGGAAGAAGCGCGCATTCCCACAAAGGCGCGATCGTGGTTCCTTCAAAGTCAATCAATCCGGTTACGTGACCAGTGGCTTCGTCGATCTGTTATCATGATCAAGAGTAAGCGCCAAAGGGAGTGACGTGGACATACCGTGATGTTTGAGAGTCGAAAATAGTCAAGTCGCAGCGAAAACGGCTTTGGGGGTGAAATTTTCGCGTCATCTATTTGAATGTCTCCTGGATAGACGGCACACAAATCAAGAGTCTTTCGCAGAATACGTTGTCCATCTTCAAGGTGGTGTATAGGTAACTCTTCGTTCACATATGTTAGTCATCATGTCCCATACCTAATGTAGTAACCGGATGTGACAACCACTCATGTAAGGTAGGGGACATCCATCTCTTTCCAACGTCACGTGCAAGGCGTGACATTTCCATTTTGAGCGGCAGTTATACAAAAATGCATCTAAAACATTCCTTCAACAATTAGATACAAATCGGAAACCAGGAGTTTGTGCCAAAATAGGTTGTGAACCGACGCAAAAAGAAAAAAATGTGTAAAAATGTGTTGCACCCAAATCGTATCAAAAATACATTTGGGCATTTAGATTAGTGGCGTGTCGTGTCGAAATCAACAGAATTTCCCTGGACACACCGGAAATACAGCGAAACACAAAAGGCTCACCCAGAAAAGGTCAAAGAACCTTCAGAGAGGCTCTAAAAGGAATAGAGGACCTGAAAGATTGAAAAAGAGAAGAGAGTGGCACCTACTTTGTGCATACTGTACTAATACGACCATGACTTCGCATCACGCATCACAGAGGTCATCGAAGGAAGTGAAGTGAGGGTGATGTCACGCATCACCCCGGTTTTCGAAGTCATTTTTTCCTATTCTAAAATGGCTGATTTTTCTGGCGCCTGCGGCGCTCATAGGCATGTAAACGACACGGTGTATATATTATCTACTTTCTATGGCAACCAAACAAGAGCTGTGGTTCCAGGGCGTTGATGCCAGAATGGGTGTTATGGGTCTCAGGAAGCTGTCTCGGTAGGGGAAATTTCAAGAATTGTGTCACGGAGAGCATTGGAGATGGGAGGAACTCGGCGCGCATATGTGGTGGGATTTTTTCCGGGAACATGATGAACAAGAGAGAGAATAAACTTTTTTTCATTCAACATCGGTTTACACAGTGGGCAACGCATCAGTAATTAGAGTTGCTTTTAGAGTTGATTTTAAGACGATGGGTCCCTGTTCGGGTCAACTGCAGAAGCGCCGAAGCCATCACACTCTTCGTCACGCATCACATCGGCTGTTGAAGCGGCGAAGAGATGGTGAAAATGTGTCATGCCCCATAGGGCCCGAGGACTTGGTCGTATTAGTACAGTATTTTTGTATTTTGCATACCATTCCATGAGATCAAAATCCTAGCTTCTATAACTTTGTATATAGCTTTCTAACAACAATTATAACAATCTCCTGGGAGCCAATTTTGAATTTCTACTCTGGAGTTGCATATCTTCCATCTTCCAGTCCCCGTGAATATAAAAGGAGCGTTATTGTAACAGCACGTGACATTGGAGAGAGATGGATGTCCCCTACCTTAACATGAGCCCAGCCGGACCGGCCGGTTTTCTAAACTGTCCCTTAGTGATTGGTACAGCCGTGATTGTTACAATCACCCATCAGCTTGAGGCAGCCGTACTTCTCCCTGACAGCGACTCCTGCGGAGCATGCACATCATTGTCCGACGGTGCAAATTGCGGCCCACCTTGGGCAAAATGCAGAGCACCTTGTAAATATACTATAAATATTTTACATAATAATAGGGCCACAGAAGCCACTCAAACACCATGAGGACTGTCATGGGGAGGATGCATATCATCGTCTGCCAGCTCAAATTGTGGGGCACCTTGTAAATGTACTACAATGCTTCCACATAACAATAAGGTTGCAGAAGTCAGTTAAACACCATGAATGTGACCCATTGCAGACCTACATGTACTTTTAACAATTCTTTTGGAACCCAAGCAGCCTCCATTAGCTATTGTATATATTATGGGTCCCACAAATACAGCTGAATATGATACACCAGCAGAGGACCTTCCAATAAAAACACATTACTTTTGCATGGGGGACACCTTTTTCTAATAGCTGTGTTGGTCTAGAGCAATATATATATATACTATGAAGCTCCATTAGAGCAGTGCAATTTTTTTTTTACAAAGACTCCGGCAGAGTAATGCAATTCTTTCAGAGAAGACCCCGGCGGAGCAATGCAATTTTTTTAGAGAAGACCCCGGCAGAGCAATGCAATTTTTTTAGAGAAGACCCCGGCGGAGCAATGCAATTTTTTTGACAGAAGACCCCGGCGGAGCAATGCAATTTTTTAAAAACAACTTCGGCAGAGCAATGCAATTTTTAAAAAAAAAGAGCCTGGTGGCCCAACACAATTTTTTAAGAAACAACTCCAGCAGAGCAATGTATATCAAAGAGAACTAAGGAAAATAATGACCAAAGTATATCTTAATAACTCAATCAATGAGGAGAGTGTCTACTGCTAACATAAAAGAATTTTACTAATGAAGGGTGATGAGGTAAATTATCTGTGGACCTACATACATGTATCTCAAAGAGACTCTGGTGGAGAAATGCAACTTTTGTTAAATTGGTTCTATTGGGGCAATGTATATGAGAGGGAACTTGAATTCAAAGAATGTTTGTACTGGAGCAAAATATCTTCTAAATGGCTCTGCTGGAGCAATGTATTTTTTTTTTCAATAGCTCTGCCGGAGTTATGTATTTCTTTTAAAAATGGCTCCACTGCAGCAATTTTTTTTTTTTTTACGTAGTTCTGTTTGAGTAGGCTCCGCCGGAGCAGTGCAATTTCTTATAACAATGGTGCCACCAGAGTAAAGCATTTTCTTTTCATGGCTCTGCCGGAGCAGTGCAATTTCTTCTAAAGATAGCTCTGGCAGAGCAGTGTATTTTTTTTTCAATGGCTCCACCAGAGCAATATATATTTTTTTGAATGGCTCCGCTGGAGCAGTGCAATTTCTTCTAAAGATAGCTCCGCCGGAGCAGTGTATTTTTTTCAAAATGGCTCCGCCGGAGCAGTGCAATTACTAATGATAGCTCCAGCAGAGCAGGGTATTTTTTTTTTTCAATGGCTCTGCCGGAGTAATGTATTTTCTTAAAAACAGCTCCACTGGAGCAATGCAATATTTTAAACAATGGCTCCACTGCAATGTAACTTTTTCAAATGCCTCTGGTGGAGAAGTGCAATTTGTTTCAAAATAGCTCCGCTTGGGCAGTAAAACTTTTATAAAGTTGCTCCGGCGGAGTAGTGATTACTTTTTGAGATACAATCCGCATGATGTAACAATGACTTTTAACTCACATAAAAACCATCTCTGTCAAGCTGGAGAAGGCAGAATTCGAATGAGCTAGGCCCAACAATAAGTTGTTCAGGAGAAAGATAAGTCTTGATGGTTTTACTGTAAAATGTACCATTTCGCACTTTGTTTGAGGTCCGCAAAATTTAATAATGAGTTTCAACCCATGTAGAACCACCTTTAAAAGCTTGGAAAGCATGATTCCAACAAGCTATGCCCGATGATAAGTTGTTTGGGG